CATAAAGAGTCTTTCTATTCTTGTGCTTAGATGTTGTGATCTCTTGGAGAAAATTGATCATATCCAAGAACTCGAAAACTTAAATGTTCTTGAAATATCTGGTGCTACTTGCTTGAAGTTTATTCCTAATGACCTTTTTGCAAAGATGCCTCACCTTCGAAGCCTTAACCTTTCTGAATCCAAGGTCACATCACTACCTAGTTCTCTCTTCGATAAAAGTGAACTACGGTGGCTTATCCTTAGAGGATGTGCACAATTAGAAACACTTCCAAGCTTAAAATCTTTTAAGAACCTCAAGGTGCTTGATCTATCTGGTGCTCTCTCTTTCCAAAAATTCCAAGACAAAACCTTCAACCCACTTGTGAAACTTCAAACAATTGATCTTTCCAATTCCCAAATTAATCGCTTACCTTTTCTTCACAATCTTGGTGAGCTCACTCGGCTCCTTTTAGGTGGCTGTGCACACTTAACAAGACTGCCCACTTTGAACACTCTACCTCGGCTTCAGATTCTTGATCTTTCAGGTGCTACAGGTTTGAAAGAAATGCAGAACGAACCATTAGATGGCCTTAATGTCCTTGATTTATCCAGCACTCAAATTAGTAGTATACCTTCAAGCACAAGCAACCTTTCTGATCTCTACTTAAGAGATTGTTCTAAGCTTGTGAAACTGCCAGTCATAAAAGCAATGAAAAAGCTTGAACTACTTAACCTTTCCGGTTCTAGCAATTTGGCTGAAATTGAAGATAAATCCTTAGAAGATATGAGGTTCCTTCGAGTTCTCAACTTTTCGAAAGTCAAAGTAAAAGCACTGCCGTCCCTGTCCAACCTAGTTAACCTTCGCCAACTCTTGCTAATGGATTGTTCATGCTTAGAAAAATTGCCAGAGATGGCAGGCCTTAAAAGACTCCAGGAGCTTAATCTTTCTGGTTGTGTGGCATTGGTTGGTTTGCCAGACCTCAAAGCCTTTGACAAATTAGAGATTCTTGATGCTTCAGGTTGCAGGGATTTGAAAGAAGTACAAGATAAATCCTTTGAGAACATGTCTCATATTCAGACACTCAACCTCTCAGACACTAGGATTGAGTTCCTTCCATCTGTTCCCAAAGCCAGCAACCTCCGTCACCTCGTACTCAGAAATTGCCAAAACTTAAAAGACCTTCCTCCTCTTGACCATCTGTTAAAACTTGAGGAACTCAACCTATGTGGTGCCATTAATTTAAATGGCATTAAAGCTGAATTCCTGGAGCAGATGGTTCACCTCAGAATTCTTGACCTATCTGGAACCCCACTCACAAAGCTACCCTCCATGTCCAGACTTACTAACCTCAGACAGCTCTCCCTAGAAGGTTGTTCATCCTTAGAAACAGTGCCAAATCTGGAAGCAATAACTTCGCTTGAGATTCTTGATCTTTCTGGAACATCAATTGGGAGTCTGCCACCTCTAAACATTTTTAGCAACCTCTGCCAGCTCTTGCTAAAAGATTGTTCAAGGATAAAAGAGTTGCAGAATCTGAGTTCTCTTCGTCGTCTAGAGGTTCTTAATTTGTCAGGAACCAGAATAGAAAAATTTCCCTATGAGATATCTCAGTTGACTGATTTAAAGCACCTTGATCTGCCAGACTTGAAGAGTATGCATGCTATTGACTTGGGAAAGATAAAGCGTATACCACAAGAGGTGAACTGTGACAAAGGTGGCATCTTTGAGTGTGCTGATATTGGTGGTGACAAGCCTTCCATATCTGTGAGTGGTTCTACAATTTTTCAGTTTTTGGATGAAAATCCACAGTTGTGGGAAACAAAGTTCAAAAGATTTCATTTCTCTGTGATCGAGAAGCAAGGCGAAGATGGAGATATCAACGGCTGCAAAGATGAACTTTTCTTCAGAGATCTGTACTCCTACACCAGGCATTTTCCTAAAGAGCACGATCGGTCTTTGGAAATCCACGGATCATATAGTCTTCCTAAAGGTTTTGAAAGTGTCCTGCAGCATGCCGATTATATATCCTTGGTTGATAATGACCGTATAAGTTGCCTATCTGAAATAGGTGCAGATAATGTGATGGTAATGAAAGGCTGTTGGATTGAGAGATGCAGTGAAATTAAGAGCATTCTTCGTGGAGAAGAGGCAGATGTCAGACTGGGGAGCAGTTTAGAGATTCTTTGGATTTCAAACCTTCCAAAGTTGAGCAGTCTATACAATGGGAAAGAGGATCTGGAGTGCTTTAAGAACCTTAAACATTTGTATCTAGATTGCTGTCCAATGATTGTGAGCGCCTTTCCCTCATCCCAGCTGCTAGAAAACCTCGAAATTTTCCATGTTCAATTTTGTGAGAGATTGACAACTTTGTTTGAAAGTGATTCACCATCTGGATCTACATTGAAAAATTTGAGGACATTGTATCTGTTGGAACTGCCAGAGTTGACGCGCATTGGGATAAAATTGCAAGCTCAAGTGACTTTGGAAGTTATGGAATGCCCTAAGTTGTCCAAGGACCATCTTGATGTGGATGACCGTTTCTCCAAGTAATTCTATTGGTAAGTTTCCAGCTGTAGTTTATGTTTTGGTGATGGAAACCCACTTTAGTCTAGTTAATATGAACATGTGTTGTTTTCAGTTCTTTGAAACATCAGTGTGCAACAGAAACTAGGTTAAAACTTAACATCAAAGACCAAATATAAATATATATATATATATATAATTACCTAAATTGCTGCAATAATGCCTGATATTGATACAAAGGCTTTCAACATAGCAAACATTCCAACGTCAACGTTGAGAAAATCTGGCGAAAGGTGGTGGACATTTATTTCAGCATTGTTGTATTTCATATTAGGCTTTATTTGTAAATGAATTTATTGATGTTTAGTTTTTTTTCCCTTTTTTGTTAGATTACTGCCCATGAAGATGTTTCTGAAGTTTCCCAAGCTCAACTATGGGAATTGGTTTCTGGTCGTGTTGTTGGCTCACTCTCAATACAGGTAACAACTAACACCAGAATAATCAATCATTCAGTAGTTTTGTTTAAAGCTGTGATAATAATATTACTTTAAGTAAGACTAATCAATAGTCGTATTAGAGGTAAATCGTTAGTACCTGGAATTTGGAAATCAAATCATTTGAGAATTCTTACACTCCCAATTGAAGTTCCAATTCCAATTCTCCTCAAGGTTTTTTTTATGTGAAATTTTTTAAAGCTCTGATACCATGAAAGAATTGGAACGTATGGGGTAAAGCCTCAATTATTATGAGGGCATATTGTATTGATTTATACAGCATTACAGATAGAGTCCTATATCAAGTATGATAAGAATACAACGTAATCAGATAACCAAGAGGAATCCCACATGGGATAAACGTAAATACAGGATAGTCCTAAGGACAATAGTCATCCAATATGAAAGATATGAAATTTTTGAAGTATAGGGCTCGATGAACTTAATCTGAATGAAACTCCCAAACTTATCTGTAGGCCACCTGTAGCAAGAACAGTGTAAGAACCTGTGCCCAATCACCTACGAAGAGAGTTCATCTACTTCACCTACACCAGCTCACACTCTTCACAGGGGCTCCTTTAAATAGCTTGTTTGAGTATGATGCTTGCTGGACATGTAGTTGGGCTTGGCCTATTGTTTTAGCGGCTTCTACCTTGACATTAATGCAGTACTCTTTCCTACTCTCTTACACACGAGGCTCGTGAACACCCCCTCTTCTTGAACACAGATCCAGACCAACAATGTTGCAGTTGTGGTGCTTTTGATCTTACAAAAACCCGCTTCACTTGTAGAGAGTGCAACTTCCATCTGTGTATTTCATGTGTTAAACTACTGTTGAAGAATGTATCGGAAACTGACAAAGTAAAAATACAATATATATTGAGTGGTTCCACTACTAATAGTTTTAATTTTTCTTTTTCTTGTGGAGTTGATTTCTTCCATTGAAGCAATTTTTTTATCTTATTTTTCGGTACATACCTCAACCGCAAATTTCACTTATTCAAAGACTGGCCTCAGCTGCTCTGCTAGTGATTATCTAACCACATCACAGCTGAAGAGGTCATAACACGGTAGCTAAATTTTATATGGGAATTAATCAACCTCAAGCTTCTTAGGAATTTCCTTTCTGGAGACCTCTTAACTTGCATGGCAAGATACAAATCCAAATTGAATTGAACAAATATATGAGCAGAGGATTTTTCTGTCTGGTATAGGTACATGAACTTTCATCTAGAAGACTTTACTTTTCTCTTTTAAAATCGGCTAATACAGCCAAAATTAGACTTCTGCTTGAGATAGAACATGTTTTTCTCCTTGTAAATATTTTTTTCATTATCTTTTTCTTGCGGATGAGGTTACTCTGATGTTCACATGAACTTTCCTTGTAAATATTTTTCTATTGACTTTAGTGTTAGAATATATATGAGTTTATGCACTGCCTGACCTCAGTTATAACTAATGAATATTCTTCCAAGTTCATGGTATGTTGATCTCACATGCCTTTAAAACATTCAAGTAGAGAAGTAGAGGAAATTTATCAAGAAGTTTCCTCCTAATACAAGTCATTAGTCTGACCTTCAATTTAGCTTAAATATTGCAAACGAATCAGCCCTCCTCATTGAACCTTGAAGCTCGACTTGTTCCTTCGATTTCTCGGTCTCTCAAACTCTCTATCAGATAACCTCGACCAAAAAAAAACATAGAATAAGTAGTACAATACAAACCCACAACAATCACCTTGATGTTGAATATATGATAAAAATATAATTCAAAGTCCATGGTATGTACAGAAAAGTAGAGAAAATTGACAAAGAAGTTTCCTCCTAATACAAGCCGTTAGTCTGACCTCAATTAGCTTAAATATCTTGCAAAAGAATGTGCTCTCCTTGAACCTTGAAAGCTCAACTTCTTCCTTCAATTTCTCTGTGTCTCAAACTCTGTATCCTATATTTCCAAAAACAAAAGGAAACAAACGAAACTCTGTATATATACTCATAATCTTCATGAGTAGCTTGCAACTTTCTTCACTACAAAGGTCTGCGCTCCTATTAGCCCTCTTGTGTGGTGCTCTTACTCCAGCAGGAGGGTTGAGTTTCAGCTATCCAACATTTCGAGACAACATAGATGAAAAGGATTTCATTAAATCCGAATATTCACGAATATATTTTGGTGCAATCCAGATCACTCCTGATCTTAGTAACGTGGCTTCCATCGTGAATCAATCTGGAAGGTTTTTATATAAAAAGCCATTCAAGCTGTGGGGAAAAGGCCATGGCGGTGTTCGTAGCAGAGCATTGTTCAATTCTACCTTTGTACTTAACATCACTCCCAAAACCGATCCAGGTGGTGAAGGCTTGGCCTTTATCTTAACTGGAAATCGCACTCTTCCAGAGAAGAGCCAAGGAGAATGGCTTGGAATTGTAAATGCAAATTCAAATGGATCTGCTCAGGCTAACATAGTGGCAGTAGAATTCGACACAAGAAAGAGCTACTTGGAAGATGTAGATGACAACCATGTGGGCTTGAATGTAAACAGCGTTTACTCAATTCAACAAGTTCCTTTACTTAGCTATGGTGTTAATCTTTCAAGCCAAACGAATTACACGGTGACAATTCGGTATGACAGCCAGAACATCACCATCTTTTTTTCCCAGACCAATGAAACTAGGGAGGAAATGAAGAATATTCCAGTTTTGTCTCGCACTCTTGATCTCTCTGAGTATCTTTCACAGAAGGTATATGTGGGATTCTCAGCTTCCACAAGCAATAGCACTCAGCTAAACTGCATACGGTCATGGGATTTCCACTCTTCACATATAGATGAAAATTCAAACCTGCTGTGGGTTTGGATTACGGTCCCTGCAGTATTTGTCTTGGTAACTGGAGTTTCTGCTTACTTGTTCTGGACAAGACAAGGTGAAAAGGAGGACGCACATCTGCAGATAGACGAAGAGATTCAAACAAATTCCATGGCCCCCAAAAAATTCAAACTCAAAGAACTTCAAAGAGCAACAGGCAGATTTAATCCCAAGAACAAGCTCGGAAAAGGTGGCTTTGGAACAGTCTATAAGGGCCTCTTGGGAAACAAAGAGGTAGCAGTCAAGAGAGTCTCAAAGGATTCACGTCAAGGCAAGCAAGAATTCATAGCAGAAGTCACCACAATCGGCAGACTTCGTCACAAAAATCTGGTCAAATTAATTGGATGGTGCTATGAAAGACATGAGCTTCTTATCGTCTATGAGTTCATGCCAAATGGAAGCCTAGACAGATTCGTATTCAGGGATGACACGTTAGGGATGGAGAAAGAGGAACCAACACTGAGCTGGGAAAGAAGGCACAGCATAATACTTGGGGTAGCTCAAGCACTCGATTATCTTCACAATGGATGCGAAAAGAGAGTGCTTCACCGAGACATAAAAGCCAGCAACATCATGTTAGACTCAGATTTCATAGCCAGGCTGGGAGACTTTGGACTGGCTCGTACCATCCAACAAAGTGGTTTAACTCACCACTCTACCAAAGAGATTGCAGGAACACCAGGCTATATGGCTCCAGAAACATTTCTTACCGGCAGGGCTACCGTCGAAACAGATGTTTATGCATTTGGTGTTCTTGTGCTAGAAGTTGTCTGTGGAAGAAGGCCTAGTAATCAAAACGAGCAGAACAACTACAACAACAGCATAGTGTATTGGCTGTGGGATCTTTACAGCAGAGGAAGGATCCTTGATGCTGTTGACTCCAGATTGGATGGAGACATTGATGAGGATGATATGGCATGTGTTCTGGTTTTGGGGTTATCTTGCTGCCACCCAAACCCACATCTGAGGCCATCCATGAGGACTGTCCTTAAGGTTCTTACAAGGGAAGCAGATCCACCAGCACTGCCCACTGAAAGGCCTGCTTTTGTGTGGCCAGCCATGCCTCCATCATTCAAAGAGGACACAGAATTTGATCTGGCTGGAGGGCAAATACCACCATTCACAGAACTCACTGGAAGATGACTTGGCCAAGAAGCTAGAAAGGAAACCTTGCTCTTCTGTCAATTTAATGAAACTTTGCTTCAAAGAGAAGGGTAAAGTAAAAGTTGTAGAGGTAAGTCATTAGGACTTTGAATTTGACTGTCTTAAACTTTTGTGGAGAACCTTTATCTCTCCTCATGTAATTTGGTTGAAACCATTTTCTTATTTTGGGGTGGAAAAATATTCCATTGGGAGCAGTTTGTGTAAGTATATAAGGCACCCCTCTGCTTTAAAGCTTTAAGCTTTGATCTTGTAATATGCAATTATTATTTATAAAAAAAGACGGTTTTTTTTTTTTTATTTTCACTATTTTTTTTTTTTTTTTTTTTTTTTTTTTTTTTTTTTTTTTTTTTTTTTTTTTTTTGACCTTAAATACTCGCCTACAGCCACAGGGCTGGTTTTCCACCAGGCTGCAGCCAATGTCTGCCTCATTCTATTTCTTTCCTGGAAATGTTTCTGAGTCACATAACAGATTAAATGATTTTGTCAAGTTAATACGAAAAATAAAGTTTATAGTATACATGTTGTGGAATTAGAACTTGGAAGCAAAAGAAGCTAGAAATAAATCATACTAATAATACAAATCAAAATTAAGGATGAACTACATAAATAATGACGTTTGAAGAAATCCTATATAAATAGTATAGCCAAACGACTATACTAGATTCTTTTTGAATCTTTTCAGGAAATCGAATAGCCGTGGCTATACTATTTTTTCGTAATATTTTTTTAAAATAGTATAGCCGACTAGCTTTACTCTTTTGACATGTAGCACCTATGCGCTTGTGGGGACCAAATCTAACGCATCATGGCCTAGCCCATATGCCTCAACTAAAAGACGTGGGATGATCGAACTTCCCTCCCCTCCCACTAGTGGAGTGCGGAACAAGGGAGACGCAAGTCACTCATCTGATCCCATTACCACGAAGTGGAGGATGGGATGCGCAAAGCTAGGGAAGTGGGGCTAAACCCAAGACCTCGGAGCGCTATAAAAACTCAACTAGACCTCCAGCAAAGGTACGTGAAATTCAACTGAACACTAAGAGTACGCTACACAAACACTGACTTGAGCGTCGGAGTAACTTTTGCAGGTGCTCACCCCCTCTCCATCGTTCGACCCTGGGAGCGTAGTCCAGAGTTCTCTTTCGACCAAGGTAGCGTGCGGACTTCAGTCAAAAACCTGTGGAGGTATTTCTTCTTGAAAGAAATCCTGCTCCAACAGTTGGCTCCGTCTGTGGGAATCTCGCAAAGTTGATCATAAACATGACTAAACCTACACAGGGAACTCCAAACACCTCCGTCCCGGAGAATGCGATGTCCACTCCTCGATCCGGAAGCGCAAGATCCAATGCCTAAGATGGGGAACCAAGCCTTGCTGTTATCCAATTGAGGGAAATCATGAAAGAATGCGCGAAACAAGAAAAGTAGAGGAAAAGGCTCTGGAGAAGGCACAAAACACTACTTGCCGTGAGGGCTCAAAAGTGGGCAAGAGGAAGCAGAGACATGAGATCTCTGAGGGAGACTCCTCTAGCATCACACACTCGAGCGTCCGTGACAGGGGCAAGGCGGAAGATCAAGACAAAGATCTCGACTTGTATAAGATGGCGAAAAAGGCTAAGGACACCGATTTGCACAATCAGATCGAGAAGATTGTTAGAGGGTACAAGCCGCAAACACCCGCTAAACTAGCTCTGGAAGCGGCGAAAGGAATCTGCAAGTCGCCATTCACGGAAGACATCCTGAAAGCCAAGAAGCCAGTTAAGTTCACCCAACCTAAGTTTAAGTTGTTCGAGGGCACGACTGATCCCATTGAACACATCTATCATTTCCAACAACAAATGGTGCTCGAATGAGATGACGAGGCCCTGTTATGTAAGTTGTTCCCCTCAAGCTTGTCGGGGTTGGCCCTAACTTGGTTTAGACAACTGAAACCGAGGTCTATTGACGGTTTCACCCAACTCTGTGAGATGTTCATATCTCAATACATTTGCAATCAAAAGAGAAGAAAGGACGTCACGATCCTATTCAGCACGAATCAGAGTACTGGAGAAAGCCTTTAAGACTACTTAAGGCGTTTTATGGAGTAAATGTCTACTCTTGAGGAATGTGATTCTCATACTGCTTCGCTGGCGTTTCATGAAGGGGTCATACCTGGATAAAAAATGCACAGGTCTTTAAGGAAGACCCCACCGGTGGATATGAGGGAAGTGATGGCACGGGCGGATGGAGTCATCAGACTGCAAGAAGAAAAGCTCACCCAATCAAAACGCGCCACTTCCACCATTGCAGTCCCAAAGCCTCTACCGGAGCAAAAGATGGAAACGAGACGATATCCCTTGAGACAAGAATCTAACAATGGACCTATGCAAAGTCGACCCTTCACCAGGCTCACGGTGAGTTTGGCCAAACTTTTTCACAAGAACAAGGGCAAAGGTATATTTCGAACACCACCTGCGATCCGTGAATCTCCAAATAAGCAAGATAGGAACAAGATGTGCACCCATCATAACGACTTTGGACACACCACAGATGAGTACCGAAGTCTCAGGTATAAGGTGGAGGCAATGCTGAGAAAGGGAATGTTAACCCAGTACCGCGCTGAACCTGAGAGTAGGGCAAGTGAAGAGGGTGGGTCAAAAACAATGACTGGAAATATCGCAAACGAAGAGCTACTGGAGATCAACACCATTCATGGTCGACCGAATCCCGTGGAGGGAAAAGAGGCTCGATCCCGATACGAAAAAAGACGGGCTGAAAAGGTGAGACGCATAAATGGGATCGCATCTGCCTCTGAATCTGCCAAAGCCTTGGAAAAGATTAGAGTCATCTCATTCACGCAGAAAGACATGGAAGGAATTGAGTTCCCTCACAACGACGCATTAGTGGTGACCCTCCGCTTTGCCAATTCGATGGTAAAAAGAGTGATGATTGACGGGGGAAGTAGTGCAGACGTGTTATTCTGGAGCACCTTCAAAAGAATGAAGTTGGATGAAAATGAGATTCAACCAAACCTAACACCAATCTACGCGTTTGAGGGGATGAAAGCGCAACCGATCGGAGATGTGACTCTGCCGGTCATTGCTGTAGGTAAGACCCTATTCGTTACTTTTGTGGTTGTAGATGCACCGAGGGTGTATAATGCTATAATGGGAAGGAACTGGATTCATCGAATGGATGGAGAAGCATCGACAAGTTGCCAGGTGATGAGGTGCATATCTGAAGATGGGAGAACCACAGTTGATATCAAAGGGGATCAAATGGAGGCCAGAAGATGCTACAGCATAGCAACTGACCTTAAGGCTGCGACTTCGCAGCAGAACGAGGATTTATAGCAATTAATGAAGGACCCACCGAAACAAGAAGAGGAGGATAACTCAGAGCTTCCGACGATCGAACCATTTAGGAAGGAAGTTCTGGACCCCTTTTATCGTGATAGAAAAGTGTTGGTGGGCTCCCTCTTATTTGAAGATGAGGTAGACCAAATAATGAAGTTGTTAAGAGAAAATAAGGACGTGTTCGCGTGGTCACATATAGACATGACAGGGATCGACCCAGAGATTGCATGTCATCGGTTGAACGTTGACCCAAACCACCCACTGTACCAACAGAAGCAAAGGAGGTTCGCACCTCAGCGAAATCAAATTATTAGCGATGAAGTGGACCGGTTGCTTAAGGCAAGGTTCATTTGAGAAGTATGGTGTCCGACCTGGGTCTCGAATGTAGTGGTAGTAAGTAAAAAGGACAGGAGATAGCGTGTGTGCGTAGACTACATCAACCTAAATAAGGTGTGCCCGAAAGATTGCTATCTGATACCAAAGATCGATCAAATGGTAGACGCTACCGCCGGGTATGAACTTCTCTTATTCCTGGACGCTTATTAGGGATATAATCAAATCCTAATGGCAATTGAGGATCAGGAAAAGACGGCATTCGTCACCGAGCGAGGCTTGTATTGTGACACAGTGATGCCATTCGGGCTGAAGAACGTAGGGTCGACGTAATAGAGATTAGTGAACAAGATGTTCAAAAGCCAAATCGGCAAAACGATGAAGGTTTACATCGATGACATGGTCGTCAAGAGCCAAGAAAAATCCCAACATGTCAGGCACCTGGAAGAAGTCTTCAACATACTGAGGAGATATCGAATGAAGCTTAACCTGAAGAAATGCGCATTCGGTGTTTCGTCAGGGCAGTTCTTGGGGCAAATAGTGAACAAGCGAGGCATCGAGCCCAACCCATCGAAGGTGCAGGCGCTACGGAATATGCCTGATCCAAGGACACCTAGAGATGTGCAGGTTCTAACTGGGCGAATAGCAGCTCTCAGTCGGTTCATTTCAAGATCGTCAGATCGTTATAAGCCATTCTTCCAGGCAATTCGAAATAAGGACGGAAGCATATGGGGGCCAGAACAAAGAGAAGCCTTTGAGCAGCTGAAGAAGTACCTCGCCAGTCCCCTGACCCTGACTAATCCGAAGCAAGGTGAACCTTTATACCTATACATGGCTGTCACTAAAATTGTTGTAAGTGTCGTACTGCTAAGGGAGGAAAATTCAATCCAGCAACCTATATTTTACATGAGCAAGAGCTTAATTGAAGCAGAGAAAAGATATCCAGTGGCTGAGAAACTCGTGTTAGCTTTAATGATGGCCAAGCGGAAACTTCGACAATACTTCGAGGCACACACGATCATAGTATTGACGACCCAACCAATCAGGGCAGTCATGTCCAAACTTGACCTCTCAGGAAGAGTTACACAGTGGGCCATCGAGCCCGAAGCACTCGACATTAGATATCAACCTCAGACAGCCCAGAAGGGTCAGGTAATTGCCGATTTCCTAGTAGAATGCTATCCACCTAGCGAACAACAGAAAAGCCATAATGAAGTCAAGGAGGCATCAAACGTGGACAAGGCCCAGTGGGAATTGTATGTAGACGGATCATCTAATCAGGCGGGAGCCGGAGTGGGAATCGTTCTCTCGTCGCCTGAAGGAGTGGACCTGGAGTATTCCGTTCGATTGGACTTCCCCGCTTCAAACAACGTGGCGGAATATGAAGCCCTAGTGTTAGGACTCCAACTAGCTAGGACACTGAAAGTGGGACGCTTAGTTGTCCATAGCGACTCTCGCCTCATAGTCGGCTAGACAACTGAGGAATACGCGACTAAAGATGAACGAATGGGGGCATATCAACGATTGGTAAAGGATTTGGCCAGCAAGTTCGAAAAAATAGGGTTTGAACGAATATCGAGAGAAATGAACATCCAGGCAGATCGTTTGGCCCACGCCGCATCAATGTCAGTGGAAGACATGAGGGTCGCAACGGTGGAACTTTTATCGAGTCCTAGTATACCAATGGATCCTGGAGTTATGCAGATTGATGCCGAAGAAGAAACGTGGGTGACTCCGATCATGAACTATCTTACGAAGGGAACCCAACCCAATAACCCAATTGAGGCAAGGAAATTACAAATAAAAGCCGCAAGGTATTCCATTATAGATGATACACTTTTTCATAAGTCTTTTTTAGGGCTATATCTCATATGCCTCGACCCACGTGAAGCCGAATATGTGCTAAAAGAAATACAAAAAGGGACATGTGGGAACCACACGGGTGGAAGGAGCTTGGCCCACAAAGCACTGACCCAAGGATATTTTTGGCCTTACATGGCCCGCGATGCGGAACAATTTTCACCAAAATGTGATAAATGTCAGAGAGGAACTTAACCCTATTGGAGGGCCTTGGCCATTTGCCCGCTGGGGGATAGACATCGTGGGACCACTTCCCACTACAGTGGGGGGCAAGAAGTTCGTCCTTTTGGCCACTAACTACTTCACCAAGTGGGTGGAAACCGAACCTTACTAGACGGTGACCAAACAGATGTGGTAAGATTCGTATGGCGGAACATAATCTGTCACTTTGGGATACCAAGGGCCATCGTGACAGACAATGGAACCCAGTTCGATAACTGTAAATTCAGAAGTTACTGCGAGGAAAAAGGGCTCATCCAACAGTTCTCGTCCCGGAGTTATCCCCAAGGAAACGGACAAGCCGAGAAGACTAATCGTACAATCTTTGATTGCTTAAAGAGAAGGCTTGAACAACGCAAAGGCAAATGGGCAGAGGAACTGCCAAACGTGTTATGGGCATAACGCACTACCAAGCGAAAACCAATCGGCGAAAGCCCTTTTTCCTTGGCTTATGGAACTGAAGCCGTCATCCCCACAGAAATTGGACTTCCCACAATCAGGACGTTGGTGGTAGAAAGCAATGACAATGAACGACAGCTAGCTCACAACCTTGACATGCTCGAAGAACAACGAGAGGCTGCAGCGTTGCGACTTGCGAACTACCAGAACCAGGCAGCCAATTACTTCAATAAGCGAGTATGGCAGAGGAAGTTCAAAGTAGGTGCATGGATACTCAGAAAGGTCATGGAGAATACCAAGGGTCTAAACGCAGGAAAATTTGGACGGACATGGGAAGGACCGTACGAGGTAACAGAGGTTTATGGAAAATGGGCCTATATGCTGAGGCATATCGAGAGCGGTCAATATGTACCACGCCCGTGGAACGCAATTCATCTAAGGAAGTATTTCATTTGATTTTACTGTTTTTCATTTCTTTGTCGCTTTCATCTTTTTGTCATTTGTGATTTTTTCCTAAACTGTCCATCGTTTGATGAACACTTAATAGAACGCATGTTTCCTTCATCGAACTCTTTGGTCGAAGGCCATATCTATTTTAGCATCACCTGAGTCCACGTGGTCGAAAACCTTGTAAATAAGAAAATACATGTACTAATACATGGGCACAGAAGGTGCTCGGCTAAAAAGAGTACGATCAAAGATCACAATCAATACGTAGTCAAAGATCACGCATGGAGAAGCGATTGGAGATCCCGTATAAAAATGCGATTGGAAATCGCTCATAAAGAAGTGATCGAAGATTACGTTATGATCGGGGACCATGACATGGTTAAAGATCAAGTAATATGAATATGAATGTCAAAGACCGCATGATTAAAAATAACAATAGCATTAAGCCATCGTGGCCATAAAAGGAAAAACATGAAATGTTTATAGGATGAAGGCCTCCGGATTATTAAAAGCTGGAAAGTACATAAAACTACTGATTCTACAAGTGCGAACCCATAAGTAGCACGAACTAGTCTGATGGCAAAGGGAGGCGATCCCAATCCACGTAAGGATAAACCATTTTGGCCTTGGTGCGGAAGTGATGGATACCCTGTCTAAATCCGTCACGTATGCCATCAGAATGAGCGGCGGACACAGCACGATCTGCATCAACAAGATCACTCCGGAGGCGAGTCACTTGGGCACTGACGCATGCCAGATCCTTCTTGAGTAGGTCGCGTTCCATCAGCAGCATGTTATGGTCGAAATGACAGGAGCAGCGAGGAACACGAGACGGACCAGCTTCATCCCGCACTCTTGGGGTACTCCTTCTCATAGTAGCCTTTCCTCTACCTCTGGCGTCACCAGACCTGGACCTAAACCCACGAAGTGAGTCGGGAACCGCCGAGTAATCTGAAGCATTCACCGGAGAGTCGGCGGAAGAGTCTTGAGAGCATATCTCAATGACCCCGTTAGGGCTCTTGGAATCTTGCTGCGGGGACTCCCTCCTTGACAAAGATGAAGTCTTCCTCCTCGGGGAGTCTCCTTTCTTGGGAACATCTGCGCAAAGGCGGAAATGGAGCTTTAGCTTGCGTCTATGAGCCATGAGAGGGATAGGTATGTTCGCCTGAGAACCAAATCACTCCTTATATAGAGGCTAACCTAGAGACGTAAGGGAACACCTGATGAGGTTGTAATGCAGAGATGATAGGATATCTAATCCCTTGCTTTTTGAATTTGAAAATAACGGCACACCCTGAGAGGATTTTGGCCAGATTTGAAAAACCATTACGCTAAACCTTAGGTACTTATATTAGGGTTAAAGTTCGAATCAGGTGGATAACTCATAAAGCGAAAGTACAAGTAGAATTGAAAAAGCAAAGTAATTAAGCACATCAAATCAAAGACAGAATTGAAGAGAAAGTACAAGCAGTGAACGAAACAAAGCAATTTAGGATGCGTCATCAAATGGGTCAGGGACGACCTCTGGGGTAGGAAAAATCCAATAGGCAAGGTGAAGCCTATAAGAGCATCCACAACGATGCTCTCTATTTCTTAGCTAAAATTTAGCTAAGAATATAAGAAAGATATTTTAGAAGCTCTCTAAAAAATTTCAACTCCAACCATACTCCCTAATTTGGAGAGTCATAAATGCTATAACTCTTTTTTGATTGGTCCATCTCTATTAAAAAAATAAAATAAAAAATAGTTAGCATTAAATAAAGGTTTGAAATACTCATTAAATAAAGCAGCATTAAATTATAAGGAGCCACTAGGAGTCCTTTCTCTCTCCTCAGATTTAGGAGCTCCTAGAAGACTCCCTATTTTAGGAGGTGGATAGGAAGCGTGGTTAGAGTTGCATTTTTACCATTCCTCCCTAAAATTTGTCTAAGTAGGTGGTTTAAAGAGCCCATTATGGATGTTCTAAATCCAAGGACATGCCCAGTACTGGCAATAGACGATCCAACTTTAGAACTAGGGACAATGGTCCCAACCGACCCAGATGAGGTCCTGCGATAGGGGATGTAATCCGCAGGAGGACGATCTTTAAGATGCATACCCTCAAATAGTTCGTAACCAGCTGGATCAAATCCCAACTCATCATCATAGTCATCTGGGCCCACCACAAACCGATGCTCAGGAAGCTGTTGACCTTGAACCCAACCATACCTGAACTGTCTGGCCACCTCGACTCTAATATGCTTGGTGTTGGCTTGATACTCCTCATCCCTATTACGTGTGGCCTCCACCAGCTCTTTCTTAAGGCGATCAACCTCCATCAGTACAGTGCTTTGGCCACTTTTCAGAGTTCGCAGTTCGCCCCGCTGTTGTTCGAGCTTAGTCTCACATTCCTTGATGCGTTTCCCACTAAGTTCGAGGGTCGCCGTCTTTTCGCATATCTCACGGCTCATAGCCTGAAACCTCGCCATTTACGCGTTGCGAATTCCAGCCATCTGCGAGCAAAAAAAAGCATTCATTAAATAGACAACTATGACAGGACACAACAACTGGATGACGCAAGCATGAATCCTAAACGTACCGCATTTAAGCACTGTGATTGATAACCCCAATTTGTTCGTCAGTCATGGATGTGAGGTCATTCTCTCCCAACGAGCTAGTAAAAGTGGGAGCACGAGGGATTTGCTGAGGTCGGGATGGTGTACTAGAAGCGGACACATTTGGTGAACCCAAACCCAAAACAACCTGCGAAGCATAGCGGGACTTCTTCGCAGACCTGGAAAGCTCAGGCTTTTTTCCCGGTCTCTTTCCCTACGGCCGGGGACCGACAATGAGCGTGGTGTTGACATATCTGACTGGTCGGACTCAGACTCGAATGCGCAGTCCTCAGAGCCGTTGTGTTGAGTTAACTCGACCTCTCTTTCTTGAAAGCTATCCTGGATACGAGACGTTGAATCCTCGGTGCAACAAAGCTCAACGTCGACGGAACAAACGTCCTTGAATAAGTCTATCCCGTGCAGGTTTAAATTAGCCAAATAGTACATAAGGTAAGTCGTTGTACGGCGAGCAGTGGAGAGACGAGTGAGAGTCGCAGGATCGATGAAGTGTGCGATATCCCACCCCTAACCGGCCAAGTTCTCCTCCAACCAAGCTCTTCGATCCTCAGGAATGAAATATCTTTTGTCCGAAGGAAGTCCTGCCAAAGGAAAAGGTTAGTTAGACTTGCAAAAACGCAACACGCTATATTTCAAAGACTTAAATATGTATACCAGTTTTTGGGCCAAACGCAGACGGGATAGGCATGTTCGACATCTCAAACGCCGCCCACTCCCCAGTGATTAAGAGAGAGTGGTTTTTCTAGTACTTGGTAGAGGTGGGCTTACAAGTAAATATCTTTTTACGAGCCCCAGACGTAAAAAAGAAATAGTGACTTTCCCCCCTAACACAAGCCAAGTCATGGAGGTAAATGAAATCCTTAAAGCTAAAGGACACACCCCACTTCAAGCCAATGGCCAGAAACCCAGATATGAGAAGGTAAGAATTCAGGTTCAATTGCATGGGATGAAGATCCAAGAAGAACAGGAGCATATTGAAGAAAGGATGGAGCGGAAACCTAACATGCTCTAAGTGGGCCGGCGAAAGAATTAAGGAACCCCGAGGGATACCGGCACCGGTGTACATATTCGACCCAAGAGGAAGGGGACTGATCCCTACGTTGTCGAGAACACATCCCTTGGTGCGAGCCTTAAGTATCTCATAGTCCGGTGGGACACCACCGAACTTAGGCCAAATCTCGTGGCTCGGCATGAAAATAGTAAAGATGAAAATAGTACTTACTGGGTGGTGGCAAGAACCTTCGGCGAGAACACTTCCCTCTCCTTTTGCACCTAAAGCTTATATATATGAGGAACAAGAGCAAATGGTTTTGCAAGCAAATGTACCCCATCACCCGAACTTTTATAGTAGGGCAAAGATTGGGAAAATAATGCACAAGAGTCACGGGAGAAAGTTTGTTAAAAGCAAAGATAGGGTTGGATGTGGCCGACTCAGATATTTGCCTTAGGCTCTGACAACAAAGCCTGATCTAATACGACCACTCGAAATTATTTCTACCCAATGCGTCTTTTCTCCTTGGTGAAAAGCTGTGTGTACTTTGGCAAAAGACAAAGAAGAGCAGCAATAAGTAGTGCAAGGTACTAAGTACACCTACGAATCTAGGCATGTTCACCTCTTCACGTAAATACTAGAGCATGGAATACTGAAGCACAAGAAAAAAGGAAAGAGAAGGACAGCACACACACAAAAAAAAAGGTTCGTGAACTCCTTGGATTATTTGAGAAACCGAAGGCGCACGGGCTCGGAAAGATAACTAATGGGTACTGGAGCCCGAATTGGTAGCTGAAGCACAAGGAAAGAAAGAAAAAAAAAAAAAGTTCGTGAACTCCTTGGATTATTTGAGAAATCGAAGGCGCACGGGCTCGGAAGGACAGCTAATGGGTATTGGAGCCCGAATTGGTAGTTGAAGCACAAAAAAAAAAAAAAAAAGATCGTTGAACTCCTTGGATTATTTAAGAAACCTAAGGCGCACAGGCTCGGAAGGACAGCTAATGGGTACTGAAGCCCAGATTGACAGCTGAAGCGCAAGGAAAGAAAGAAAAAAAAAAATTCATGACTTCCTTGGATTATTTGAGAAACCAAAGGCGCACGGGCTTAGAAGGACAGCTAATGGGTACTGAAGCCCAAATCGATAGCTGAAGCGCAAGGAAAGAAATAAAGAAATAAAGAAAGAAAAAAAAAAGTCGCGAACACCTTGGATTGGTTAAGAGACCGAAGGCGCACGAGTTCGAAAGGACAACTAAGGGATACTGGGACCCACTAGAGTGACAAGAGCTCAAAACCAAAGTTGGGGACGGGATCGACCAGGAGAGAGAAACTAAGGATTGGCCAGGAGCACACCCCAACCCACGTGGGATTGGTCAGGATAGAGAAACCAGGTATGGGACCCACCGGAAGCACACCCCAACCCATATGGGATCGGCCAAGAGAGAGAAACCAAGGATTGGCAGCACACCCCAACCCACGTGGGATTGGTCAGGAGAGAGAAGTCAGGTATGGGACCCACCAGAAGCACACCCCAACCCATATGGGATCGGCCATGAGAGAGAAAAACATACCCCAACCCGTATGGGATCAGCCAGGAGAGAGAAAAGCATATCTCAATCCATATGGGATCGGGCACGAGAGAGAAACCAAATATGGGACCACCGAATTGGCAAAAGCTTAGAAGCACACCCCAACCCATATGGGATCAGCCAGGAGAGAGAAAAGCATACCCAACCCATATGGGATCGCCCAAGAGAGAGAAAAGTATACCCCAATCCATGTGGGATCGGGCAAGAGAGAGAAACCAAATATGGGACCCACCGGATTGACAAAAGCTTAGAAGCACACCTCAACCCATACGGGATCGGCCGAGAAAGAGAAAAGCATATCCCAACCCATATGGGATCGGCCAGGAGAGAGAAAATCATAACCCAATCCATATGGGATCGGGCAAGAGAGAGAAACCAAGGATTGGCAGAAGCTTAGAGGAACACCCCAATCCATTTGGGATCGGCTAGGAAAGAAAAAGTAAGAAGCATGGCCCACCCGGATCGGCAAAGGTGTAGAAATCCAAAATAAAAAGGGGTCCACTGCATGGGATTGGCTGTCCGCATTTGGATACTCCAAGGGATAATAGTCCACAGTCGAAACTTGAAAAGCAGCGTGCATGAAAATTCACATTTGGAAATTTCACATGCAAGCTGTGGGAGCAACATGCATAAGTTGGATAGGCCAATGGAAATCAAATTCTTGGGCTTGACCAGCAAGCCCAAGGAAGGAAAGAATGGCCTCTTTCGGGCTCAGCCACGAGCCCATCACGACGACATGCACTCAATCCGAAGAAATCATTTTCCAAAGTCCCACTTAGATCATTTTTCCCTCTCCACCTGCGAAGCGTGTAGAGAGGAAAAAAGGGGGGCACTGTGGGGACCAAATCTAATGCATCATGGTCTAGCCCATATGCCTCAACTAAAAGACGTGGGATGATCAAACTTCCCTCCCCTCCCACTAGTGGAGTGCGGAACAAGGGAGACGCAAGTCACTCATCTGATCCCATTACCACGAAGTGGAGGATGGGACGCGCAAAGCTAAGGAAGTGGGGCTAAACCCAAGACCTCAGAGCGCTATAAAAACCCAACTAGACCTCCAGCAAAGGTACGTGAAATTCAACTGAACACTAAGAGTACGCTACACAAACACTGACTTGAGCGTCGAAGTGACTTTTACAGGTGCTCACCCCCTCTCCATCGTTCGACCCCGGGAGCATAGTCCAGAGTTCTCTTTCGACCAAGGTAGCGTGCGGACTTCAGTCAAGAACCTGTGGAGGTATTTCTTCTTTAAAGAAATCCTGCTCCAACAGCGCTGAGCACTCCTTTTTTTAATATATAAATTTCTTCTTAGCCTAAGAGCTTTATCCGTTACTATTAGGCCATTACTCGAGTATCTATTGTCTCTTTTTTATTTTTCACTTTTCCAAAGTTATTACCCGTATAAAGATTTAGCACTTTCACGTTTAATAATGTATTATACACGTACGCACGTAATTTTCATGTTTAATACACATTTTTTACAAAACTTTTAATAAGACACAAAATTCATGTATTATACACATTATTCTCACATATTATTGAAAAAAAATAATGTATATTTATTATTTATAAATTTTAAATATATAAAAATAAAAATAAAAGCTCAGTTTTCCCTAATTGTTTTTTGAAAATAGTATAGCCGTGCGACTATACACTTCTTTCTAAATTTTTTTAAAAATAGTGCAACCACTACCTGTTTGACACGTGGTGCATAGGCGCTGGCGGGTACATATAAAGAGTATAGCCGTACGGCTATACTAGATTCTCTTTTTATTTTTTTAGGGAATAGTATAGCCGACCGGCTACACTAGCTTTTTCAATTTTAAAAAAAATAGTATAGCTGACCTGTTGTACTCTTTTGACACGTGGAACCTATGCAATGGGCAATCCTTTTTTAAATATATATAAATAGTATAGTCGTCCAGCTATATTTTTAAAAAAGAAAATTTAATCTGGGAAAGTTCGCCAACATAGAGCTGTCCCGACAAACTGTCATCGGGACAGGTTTTTTTATTTTTTAAACTTAAAATATATATTTTTTTTTTTACTTCTTTACTTTACTTTAATTACACGTATTTCTCATGTTTATATTACACGTATTTTTTAAAAAAATAAAATAAATAAGACAAAAAATACAAATGTAAAATTATTACACATATTTCTCATATATTATATGAAAAAAATTAATGTATATATTAAAAAAATCTTAGTTTTTCCCTAATTGTTTTTTAAAAGGAAAATGCTAGAGGCACCAACTCTCTAATAGAGCGTGGGACCTGTTGTATTGGTAGGCTCCATCTCTATTAGAGAGTTGGTGTCCAAAGTTGGTGCCTCTAACATAACCAATAGTATAGCCGTGCGGCTATACTCTTTTTTTTGGAAATGTTTTTAAAAATAGTACAGTTGCTATTGTTTGACATGTGGCGCATAGGCGTTGGGCAGGTGTATATAAAAATCCTACAAACTCATACTCAACTCACAGAAATCCTACACCAAGCCCCTCTGTGAACAAGACCGTTAAAAATTCTATTAACTACTGATGTGGCAAAAAGCAATCTCACTTTGTCACCTCAGCAGTTAACAAAGTGACTTCTTATAGAATCTCCAATGGGAGATGTCAAATGCAGAATGTTAAATTTGAATTTGATGGCTTATGTGACAATTTGACACTTTGGAAAAAAATTAACTCCGCCCGAAATGTCAAATATCATATTATTTTATTATATTTTTAAAAGCAAATGGGACCTATATATGGTGCATAAAGTTTAAAAGAGAGTAAATGATAGTGAAGTCTATGACTAAAAAAATATTAAAATAATATTTGACATCAAATTTTTTTATATGTTATTTTTGACGTATGTCCAGCTAACAAACCTTCAATACAACCTCCCTTTTCTAATTGCAACAATTTATAATATATAATATGAATGGTTAATTACTGTAGACGTCCTCGAACTATGGCCACTTTTGCAATTGGGTCTGTGAACTAAATTTGAGGCAACGAACTCCTTTAATTAGACAATAAGTTGCAATTAGGTTCTGCCATCAAAGTCCGTCAAATTATCTGTCAAAATGAGGGGTAAAAGCGTCTTTTCGAGTCTGAAGACTCTCCTTCCATGGAAGCCAACACCTCACTCTTCCTCCACCATTTCCCTTCCTTCACAATCACTCTCCGAACCCTCCCTTCTCGAAGCCTTGCGTCTTTGTGTTCTCCAAAACCTCAGACTTTTCTCTCTACACGCAGCTTCCTCCTCCTCCACTCCCACTCCCACTTCTCACTCCTCAACCCCCATTTTCCTTCCCTTTCTCCAAGACACGACGACGACGAAGAAGAAGAACCAGAAGACCTGCAAGAACTTGAAGAAGAAGAAGAAGAGGAGGACCCAGATGATCCAATTCTCAGATTCTGAGAATTTGATACAGGAATCTCTACATGATATTGAAAATTTTATAGCTCCTCTATCTTATATTAGGGAAGCCCAACTATTAATTGTGAAACAAAATCTTGACAAATATTTGCAAAATTTTCATCTATTCACAAGATTGTTATTACAATTTAAGAAAGGGAAAGAAAATAACAGGGACAAGCACTGACTAATATTAAAGGCAAAGTGCGGCAGATACACAAACACACACATCAACAAGAAAGGAGCATGACTTGAAAACATGTATCAGTGTTTTCAAATCAAAACAATAAAAACAGCAGCAACAACAAGTACAAGAACCAGAACAACAACAACAACAAAACTAAATTGATTAATAAGAAACACCCAGAAAGGCAGTAACCCTAGGAATTAAAAAAGTGGGAGATAAAACATGAAATTGAGAGAAATAACAGGAGGGGGAAGAAACACCTACGTGAAAACAGAGGGTTTGTTGTGAAAATGAAAAGAACGAATTGTGCAAACAACCAATCAATCAGGCAGCAACCAAGTTGTGGTTATGATTTGCCGAGTGTGGAAAGAAAATAAAGAAGGAAAATGAAGGCGCTCCTCCCTCTGCCCTTGTTTCTCTTCTCTCCCTCTATCTTCTTGCGGGTGTCAATTGTGTCAATTGGGAGAAAGAGAAAGAGAGAGATAACAATGAATAATAAATGAAAATATTAATAATTGATATTTGAGAAGGGAGAGTTCGGAGAGTGATTGTGAAGGAAGGGAAATGGTGGAGGAAGAGTGAGGTGTTGGCTTCCATGGAAGGAGAGTCTTCAGACTCGAAAAGATGCTTTTACCCCTCATTTTGACGGATAATTTGACAGACTTCGACGGCAGGACCTAATTGCAACTTATTGTCCAATTAAAGGAGTTCGTTGCCTCAAAATTTAGTTCACGGACCCAATTGCAAAAGTGGCCATAGTTCGAGGACGTCTACAGTAATTAACCCATAATATGAAAGACCACAAAACATGAACAGAACCATAAACCTCTGATACCAGAGCAACTAATTTTCTTTAATAAAAAGAGAATAATATTTCATTACAATGACATATATCCAATCAAACTCCTCTCTTATATTTTCTAATATTTGCCAACTGGTAATACCATGGTTTCAAATGAAAAAGTGGGAACAAATATATATGTCGGACTTCAACCCAATACCATCTTCACCGAAAGTCAATCAATGCCAAAACCATAAACGAAACTCTCAGACATTGTCAGCTTGCACTGTCAAGTCCTGTATTCCCAAATCATGGTACAAACCATGCACTAATTGAAGTATGGGGCGATCATCTATCCCCTTCTTTACCTGTTAGCATCACCAACTAAAATCAGCCCCTAAAGGTAGCATACCCTTACTGAGAAATATATAACTTAATTTCCAATGATTGTTACCTGTATTGAAAGTGAACCAACAACATGACCAGGAACCAATTCCCAAAACCGTGCTTGAGAAACTTCAGAAACATCTTCACGGGCAGTAATCTGACAAAAAATATCATGCCAAATTAAACACCAATAACTCCAATACCAACAAAACATAATATTAAACCATACTGCAATAAATTCACACTACCTGTCGCCAGCATTTGCTCAATGCAGAAGTTGGAACGTTTGGTGGTGCCATTTGGAGTAGAATACCACCACTCGCTCTAAATAGTGGCATTACAAGCATAAAAACTGCAACTGAAACTAGTCCGAAACACAAAACTTCTGCATTCTGAACCCTACACAGTTGAAAACAGACCTCACATCGGAAGAAAAATCAGGGGAAACAGAAAAGAGAAGTAGAGAGAGAATGAACAGTATTTACCCCAGAGACAGAAACCAAGATGCCAATATCAACCCTGCACTGGGAAACAAATTTCCATTTACCAGTGTCAGATGAAAGTTCACATGAGAAATACATATAAAAGGAACATGCAGGCACACAAGGAAATTAGTTTACTAGAGAAATAGAAATGGAGGGATAGAGACGAGAAGGGAGCATATTATACCTACGAATGGAATCTGCAAGAACATGCAGGCAAACTGAGTGGTTGTTCATATCTTCTGCGTTTCTGTAAACTACATGACATGTGTATACCATATGAAAAAACATGTACAGGAGGGAAAGAAACACCTCATTTTCCAATACTCATACTCAAAAGCAAAGCCCTCAAAAGAGTAAGAATCATTTATGCACAATAAGGGAACACTGATGGACACACCAGTACTATCAGTACCAGATATCTCTGGAAAATACAAACAATCAGCAATGAGGCTGATGAAAATGTACGGAATATAATCTCATCATTTGATGTTTCATAGAAAGTTTTACTTTTGAACTGCTATGCCAAAACCTCTCTATCAATTTCGTACAATAGCAATAATTTAGGTGGGGGAAAGAACTAGATGACTTGGCGGCCTTCAATGCAAACTTTTAACTAAGTTGCACTTGCACCAAGGTATATATTGAACCTATTAGCCTGAACTTTCAAAGAATCAAATAGACTAAACCTAGGTGTAGGTGAAGTAGCTCTCATAAACAAGTACCATGGTAAATTTCATACAGTGAAATCACAAATGGGCCACAACACCAAAACATAAACTACAGCTGGAAACTTACCAAGATTGACACGAGCATAATTTCTGAAGAACCAAACACCAATAAGATTCACCAGTAGATTTGTCACTGCCGAAACAATCAAGTAATGCCTATAACCAGATAATTAGCAGACAATAAGAGCCATAAGAAAAACTGCAACCACAAAAGCAGGAACCAAAAAGTTTCTATGCAGTGATTCATCTAATGAAAAGAGCAGTGCAAAATTAATTTTTTGAAATTTGGCCCAATTTAATTAGATAAATAGAATGATTATTCACACATAAAAACATATGTACTAGTGAGATCACTTCAAAACAATAATTATCTGATACAATTGTCATATTGCCCAGTTTTAGTTAAAGATAACCTAACAAATGCGTGAATCTACAAATGTTTTGGTAAGGAGACAGCACAACATTATTCTGTGTGCCACAAGACTTACTGAAGACAATCCTAGAATTATACTTTAATGTTGCGTGGAATTGAACTTGCTCAGAAATCAGTCACTAGTTGGAATTGCTTAGCTTGTCAATCAACCACACTAGGAGAGGTCTCAGATACATGATTCCTAACACATATAAGAGTGCACCATAAAAACAACCATCCGAAGACACATGAAATGGAATAAAGAAAAGTTTTGCAACGACAAGGAAAGCAAATGAGATTCCAGTAGTGTTAAAGTATATATGGCAAAATACCACAAAATAGTGAAGATTCAATTGACACACCATTGGAATAAAGACCTAGGAATGTAGTAGAGTATCTGGGCATTGTAGTTTCCATAACCAACTTACTTGTGTTCAGATTCATCCTGTATGAACGCATGAAGTGCTTCCACAGCCAAGGAGAATGACATAAACAAAAGAAACAGCTGTCTACATGTGCAGCAGAATCAAAAACGAAGTCCACATATTAGCCGAGAGGATGCATGGAAGGAAGTAATGCAATAATTAAATGAGAAGAAAAGGGAGTGGAATCCAATGCAACAAGTTGAGATGCATAAAAGATGTTAAAGTGAAAACATACATAGGTCATGGAAAAGGTTTCATCTAAAAGTAGCCACGGAAACAAGCTAACCAAATCAAAACTAATGGCACTTGGATTGCAAGTCACCCAAGAAAATGTACATTAAAAATTGACATAAATTTGAGTTTTTAAATGACATCAATATCAGAATTAAAACAAGACTATTACCAATGCCCAGAAAGTAGGAGGACACAGGTAATGTTACACCAGTTACCAAAAGTAATAGAATCAAAGAGTCCCAAAATACAAGTACTACGCAAACATCATCACCCAAAAATAGAGAAACTAACTTAAAATCCATAAAAAAAAAAAAGTAGGGTAATTTATCGCAAAAGTGGGTACAATTGCAATGATATGGGAAACGTGAGATACTTACAGCATTGGTAAAAGCAGACAAAACTTCTAGCCTTTTATACCTGATTCATAGAAAAAAAGGAATTCATTATACACATGATTATCAAATCTAAAACATACCCAAATAGATTAACAATCCAACTCGTGTTCATATCCATAAATACACAACAATCTTACCCATAAGTGTAAATTGCATCAGGTTTCTTTCGAGAAGCAGCCATAGCGAACAATGAAAACGTTAATAAGCCACACCCAAAACTTAAATGAAATGAATCTGACACCAAACCTGAAAACACAGCACAACAATTCAACCAAAATTCAAAAAATAAAATCATCGAATAAATATAAAATGTGAAATTAATAACAATTTACGAACCTATACGTCCCGTGAAGAGTCCAATACATAGCTCCGCGGTCGAATACGCCACATTAAGCGAAATCAACAAGAACAATCTCTTCATATACCGATTTCCGGACCTCAAAATCCGAAACACCGATTCAAAAACCAACAAGACGGATAATTTCTCGGCCGAAACTCTTCGTTCCCCGAAAAGCTTGTTATTTTCCTCTGCCAAATACGCCCCTGGAGGAACGTCAATGCTCGACACGCTCCGCGAGAGAAACGGCGTCACCTCAGAGTCATTGAGATTGATCGAAACCGGCGTGTGTGGTTCGTGGTATTGCTGGAACGAGGCTTGGCGCGAAAACGCCAATCTCCGATCGGTGGTGCCAAGTCCTAAATCGGCGCTCCATGGGTTCTGAGGGCCTTTGAAAGAATTGCTCTTCTCCATGAAAACACTAATCCAGAGTCTGATTTGAGATATTAGGGTTTGGATTGGAAGGATCGAAGCCTGAGATTCATACTTATTACGAAACCCTAATTTAAAATTAGGGCCAGGCGAAGACTGAAAGTCAAGTAAACGAAAGGTAGACTTGTCGCATGGTGTATGCAGTATGCTACATGTATGAATTGTTCAAAGTTTGGTAATCAAATTGTGGGGTCCAGATTCTGTCGACTTTGTTGCCCCTAGATCAACGGCCTGCGTGAGAGAATCAGATGATTTTTTGTTGTGATTTATGGTAACTTTGTGGTTGGACTTAGAATAATGAGATTTGGAACCATTCAAGCTCAACTCTGTTGAATTCTTTTGCAGTGGATGCTACGATATTGTGTGTTTAATTTAAATTTTTTTTCCTTTTATATTTTGCTTTATCAAATTTGTTTATTTGTTTTTGTTGTATAAGAAACCTAAACTTTTCTTATGTTGTTTGTTTTATACATTTTTTGGGTTGGTAAAGATGTTGCATTAAACATCATAAGAGTATGCAGGGAAGATGATGACAACATCTGAAAGCCAACGTGAAAGTCAGGAACAAGAGCGGAGTCATTCGTGGCCTGAAACAATCACGAGAAAACAATGAAAATGAAAAATACTACAGCCCAAAATAATACATTAGGCTAAACTGGATGGAGCAATAGTGGCCTTGTTAAAACTTTCAAAACTTAGGCCAGTAGACAATGAACAAAAGTTGCACCGATCGAGATGAAAAAAACACAAACTACAACGACACAACCAACTAGTAACTGCCCCACTGCAAAATGGCCTTGCAACCGCCCGGGTGTTGGTCTATCAGTGATCGGTCGATTGATACTTATAAGCCGAATGACCAACCCGATCAACCGACTACATTGTGCAAATTGACCGACCCGATCAACGACCGCAACTAATCCAAGACTTCGGAAACCTCTAATAAGTAGTAGGCTTTCTTGTAGGAAGTACTTTTAGTTGGTTGACATCAATTTCCAAATGTTCCAGTATAAAATACTTGAGGAATATTAATTATCAGCTGGAAAGTAAATAAATCTTTGTTCTAAAAAATGAACATCAGATGGAGAAAAAGAATTTCATTAATTTTTTAATCTATGTTCATGCTTTATACAATTCGATTCTCTACAGAAGAAGTGAGCAATTGGAGACAACTGCAGAATGAGGGAACTGGAATTATGCACAAGTCTACTGTAGGCTGAATAACTTCTCATTTTGCAGACTACTGAGTAGCAGAATCAAGATCAAATTCCAATGCGTACAATGGACTTGGACTTGGAGAAGATATCGGCTCCATTTCTATACAAAGATACAATCCCAACTTCGCCACTGTGATTAAAAGTTTCAACTCCAATTTTCATACAATAGCTGGGTTCTGCAACTGGCAAAAGATTAAGATTACGAAAACCATCGTTGAAAAGTAAAAGGGTTGGAATTGAGATAACCAAACCTAAATAAGTATATAGATGAAGACTTATGTTGAGGACATTATAGATAAATGCAGAAGAAGAGAAAAAAAAACATTGCCCCATCTATAATTTATAGATTTTAAGGAACAAACTGACCACTTACTCCATGCAACAGTGTCACAACATCATACCCGTAGGTGGGGAAGGAAATGCCAAAAGATTAAAATGTGATAACTCACCATGTTGTCAGGACTGTAGATGATAATCCAAAGTATAGGCATGAATGTCAGAAGGACTTGTGCCAGGCCTGAAACAAACATCAAGCATGTAAGATCGTTTTAGATATTCAATAGAAATCAAATTTGAACAACTCAACAATGTCTAATTCAATATTAGGGGTGGTTGAATTACTTTTATCCTTAAAAAGCAGAAATTGCACTCATTAAGGTACGGGAATTGAGTTATTGTTTACTACTTGGAAAATCATATAAACTGAACCTACTTTTTATTGATGATACCATAGTGAAACTTAAGTTGTCCAGCCTTTACATCTTCTGCATACTGCAGCCACAAGAGAAAGAAATTGTGACATAAGATAAATGTCTAGAAGTAATTGAATACATGTTATAGGTAATAGGTATAGCATCCGCAAGAAGCCCATACCAATTTTAAGGTAACTACCATCGATGAAAAAGCCAGAGAATCAAAAGGTATATCATCAAGTGAAAATAATCGGCATTCTGATGATTCTGGACCTGGTGAGAAGTGGGGCTTCTTCAGCCTTGCTAAGAAAATTACATAAGTCTGTTTGAAAAAACACAACATGAACACAAAGACATCTTTATCAAGTGTATAGGATATCAAAAAATTTAACAAAAATAAAAGAAAAGGTTAATAATGAGAATCTCACTGACCTGGCCAATAAGTGGGATGTCCAACTGAGCAAAAGGAGACAGCACTTCCACTTCTGCACATGCTTCTTCCCAGGTTTCTCTGATTGCTCCTTCTGTAGCTGATTCCCCAATTTCCATATAACCTGCTGGAAGAGTCCTAAATGACAACACCCAACAATGAAAATTAGGATAAACATCATAAATAAATAAAAATTTGATGCTTAAACATAATATCTTTCTCCTTTTCCAGAAATAATTAGTCAGCTGACCCTTCCCAGATAAATACTTTATCCATTTACAAACATACCAAAGGCCATATGATGGTTGAATCTTCCTCTTGCAAAGCAGGACCATGTTATCATGCTCAATCAGACAGCCCACAACCTATAAGCATCATTTGAGCAAACAATAACAAAATTGATGTCACATTTGTATAAAACAATTACTCCTAATTTGTATAACCCAAATCATATTAAGGACCAAACTTAGGTGACATACCACATAGCCCTAGAACTTCACAATCAAAATACAGATCACACAACATTACACTTTTTTTCCCTCCTTTTCAAATTCAATCAATTTTACCATTTATAGAAACTGACTCCAGACAATGAAAAGAAGATAAAAGTAAGCAGGCCAGACTGGTTTACAATAGAACCAGAGGGAACAGGATTATGTCAGTCTGTGAAGGCACACACATGCATGTCAAATCTATTATAGAATAACGTCTTAAGTAATCCCGGGGAAAAAATAACCAGGGTAGCCTTTCAAGTATAAAACTATGATGTGAATCAAATACAGCAGGTGAAGAAAATAACATAAATAACCTTTATTTTGCACTGCCATCAAAATCAGATTTTGGAAACAACAAAAACTTCTGCAACATAGTATTTCTGAACAATTCCCAAACACTATTAAGTTCCAAAGAGAATAAAGAATACAAAAATCATTCAAGTTAGGATGCATATCATGTGATCATGTGATCATGTGATCATGTGATCATGTGATCATGTGATCATGTGATTGATATTTATGCTTAAGTGAGAGGAAAACCTGGCTGAAATAGGGACAAATATTGAAGTTGCCAGAAAAATATGGCATATATGGATGTTGTATATTAAATATTATATGTCAAAATATTGGTGGTGTTACATGGAGACAAAACAATAATCTAAAGATACTAAAGATGAGATCGATAAATTGTTATGCACTTACCCCAATGTAAATCCTAATAAATAGACCGATCACATAGAGACTTTGTTTCAAAAAGCACCTTGTTATAAACTAATTTCAAAATTAAGAAAAACTTGGGACCTCTTGTTCCTGGATTGGCACATGCACAACTCAATGAAATTGTCATCGCAAAACAAAGGATAATTTGAACAGTATACCATTTTTGGGTTCTCGTAGGCAATCTTATCACAAACCGTGCAAATAGCTCTTATCTTCTCCTCTCCATCAGGTATCTCATGCTTTGTTGGGCCACCACACCACTGGCAGAAATTGATCTTACGAACATTGCCCTTCATAGGAATAGAAATTCAATTCATAAAGCACAGCAGGCTATAATAAATGAAAAGAAAATGTTAAAAAGTACAAATGAAATGCTCAATCTGGGTTATAGTCATGCACTGTCGTAGTAAAGCATATAGATGACTTGATATACACTACCATTGTCCTGTCAAAATCTCTAGCTATGTCTACCAATTACTATTTCAAAAAACTAGACATGACAACTCAAATATCAAAAGGGGGAAAAGAATAAGAAAGTTCTAACTACCCAATAAATTCACAGGAATATCCACTAAGTTTAAACTTTGAATTATGCAATGGAGCATATGGAGGTGACAGTTCATGCGAAATGAAGAGGCCAACCAAATTTCTCCTCAATTATAAATTATACAGAAGCAAAACGCTTAATCTCATTAGATAACACAAACCCATTTCCCCATACTCAAAAGCAACCAAAATAAACTAGAACCCACCAAAAATCTATACCAAACCCATCAGTACGAAAAGAATTAGACCAAAAAAAAACTTACAGCTGAGTGAACCGCGACTGATGAAGAAGGGCCACCTGGGTTCGGCCCAGAATGAGTTGAGGACATGCTGAAAGCTCCAAAACGAGTGCGGCGAGGTGAGGACCCAGGAAGTAACAAAGTGGTTGTTGTCGGTAGAATTGTCGAAGAAGAAGAAGATGATGATAATAATAATAATGGTTTGGAGCAGGTGGAGATAGAAATGAAGGACACCTGCCTGCTGCCTGTAGAGCTATAGGGCTTCCAACGATGCGAAACCAAGCCTGATGAACAACCCAAGATCTGTCTGGTTTTTAGCATTATATGTATATCAAGAATTTTTTACCAAGATAATCAACCAAATAAACTGAAACCAAATTATGCAGAAAGAGTGACTGCAATATCAATATCGGTTTCTTTTTCTTTCTTTTTCTTTTAGAAGCTTTTCTATTTCTTTTGTCCAATACGGATTACGGAGTGGTATCGCGCTTTAACTCAGCCATTTTGCACGAGTTTCATCGGCTCCAATTTTGTAAACTAACGGTGTCACTAGCATTATTATTTTCTTTTTCTTTTTGTTTAGCTATTAGTCCAGTGATATTAATGTTTCACAACACAACATTGAAAATTTCTCAAATTTTTGTTTAGAAAAATGCTAAATTATCTTTTACTTCAGTTTGTAATAAGCAATATTGAGGGAAGGGGATTTAAAAACAGCCTCGAATGCAATAGTAATGACTTTTAACCATTTAAGCTACAAGTCTCTTACAACTTGTCACATAAGCAACAAGTCCCTTACAGCTTATAATTTAGGGTTTTTATCACAAATGTTCCTTGAGGTTTGCCGCATTATCATCTTTGGTCCTTTATGTTTTTTTTCTCATATTATTGGTCCTTTATGTTACACCTCACACATCAATATGGTCCCGTTGTGAAGTTTTGTCAAATTTTCTGTTAAACTGATGACGTGGCACATATGTGGTGCCCACATATCCAATGAGATCATCCCACTTGGATCTAAATAAAATAAAAAAAATTTTAAAATAGTTTAACATTTTTTGAAGAAAAGAAATATTTAACATTTAAAAAAAAATTAGAAATGAGAAAACAAATTCAACTCAGCCTCCCCATCCCCTCCTTCCCCTTCCGTCTCCCCCACCCTCCCCTTCCCCTTCCATCTCCCCCACCCTCTACCTTTGATCTCTTTGTCCCGAGGTTGTAACTCAGTAATATATATTCTTTCTTTTACACCTTTGTTTTGCGGATTAAGAAATTAATGTTGTATGCTAAATTGTCTGGGAAGATAATATAATTCTTCCAAAAAATTCATGCATATTCAAATTTCTTTTCAAACTGATATTCCATATTTTCAAATCAATCCTTCCACCAAGACTCAATATTAATAAAGAAAATATACTGTTTATTACATCCTCAGTAAATAATAAAAATAAAAATAGGCATACATACTTCCGGCAGTGCAAAGCTGGCGCTGCCTGTGAACAACCATCGTCGGATAATTATTCCACTGGCTGAACCCTTTCAAAGCCACACCGGCAGCCTTGTTCTGTTTCATAAAAAATTTCATCTATAACTACCATTCCTCCGTACCCTAGAGATAAACCCCCAACCTTAACCTGGTCTTCTAGGATTCAAGCCTGTCCCTTAATTGCCTAGAAAGAAACTACAAACTTTAATAAAAATATAATGATATGTTACATGTACTAGCATCTCTGCACTTAAACTAAGTTAGCCGGCCGGCTTGGTACATCCTCAGTTCACAGCCAGTTTATCACATAAAGATTGATATGCCGCACTGCAAAGCTTGAACTTTTCCTCTGCACCAGCCTGCATTAATATAGCAAAACTGTTAGAAGTCTGAGCACTCAATTTATGTAAAGCATTCGAACATCTCCAACCACTTGTAACAAATCTTCAATGCACTACAATTGCTTCGACCAATGTCACTCAGCTGGGCATTGCTAGGTAAATAGTACCCATAAATGATTTTCCACACTTACCAGTCTGGTAAAAAAAGAATAATTTTCCAGCTCTACGTGTATAAGCCAAATTAGACTCTCTTCCTTTACACTCTTGATATTCCACATCAAAGATTCAATATAAAAAAAAACAATGTTAATAAATTATTAGAGCATGTTGATGATACCTTGGAAGAGCCCTGGTGACGATCTGGATGCCATTTCAGGGCAGAGATTCGGTATCTAAAATGTAAGTAGGATTCGGATTAGATGATGAAGCAAAATTAACATATATGAGTGGAAAAGAGTGATTGACAAGTAAAAAAGCGATCCTGCTAAAAGAACTCACGCATTCTTGACATCTTCAAGTGTTAGAGGGCCAGAAGCACTCAATCCGAGGGCCAACCTTTCATCTGACTCAGACCTTTCAGACTCGGACTCAGACTCAGTTTCATATTCTTCCTTATTCTGTTGCCTCCAATTCCAGGACCTACCATAGTTAGAGTGATTTGAAGAGCTCCTCCACTGTGAACTCTCTTCATCAATGAACGACCAATAATAGAATTTGGTTCCACCAAACGTGGATCGGAAAATGGTCTCCACATCTATATCTTCTTCACAATACTGGAAACCTCCTGAAATAGCATTGCAAATTGCACTGAGATCACATGCAACTTCAAGGATGATGAAACTGAATTTAGAAATCACAACATAACATCAATCATGTAAGGAATGTGAAAGGTGCCTATCTGATGCCATCACAAAAGAGCATCGCCTACTTCAGTTGAATTTAGAGTCCTTATACATGATATATGGCTCACAAGCTAAACCACACAAAACTACACCTAGTGGTCTCTGTCGAACAAATGTTGCACTTAAGCCCACATGAAAGGCTTTATTCCAACTGCTCGGCAAAATTTGTAAAAGATTCCAGGCAAAATGATTCCTGAATGGGAGCCAACTAAAAGACAGACCCACTATCCTGACCCAGGTTAAAAAGATGTCATATATCTAATTTTAGAAGATGTACTGCATGTCCTTTTCTGCATAAATACTTCCTTACTTCTGCCGGAATTCCAGGCTCCTTGATTGCCTCCCCAGTTCTTTTTGGATCCCTTGGCTGAGTATTGCTTTTTAAACCATGAGGTGCCTTTACTAGAAGAGGGCTCATCCTCATCGTACTCCTTCTGCCAACTCTGAAACATTCAAAAAATATATAGTTGGAACATAATCAAAAAATTTACAAAAACGGAAGAGGACAAAATTTGTAAATGTTCACCTATGCATAAATTGGAAAAGGCCAGTATAAAATTACAAAAGATGAGCAACCCATGAGAAATAGAGATATATCAAATCATTACCAGGACGAGAAAAAAGGAAAAAAATTTCAATTGAAACCATCATGTCTGACAAGATACCACTAAAAATAAACAGACTGTTGCCTGGAAACAATAATCATCAAAAGTGGGGAACTAAGGGAAAATGTGTTATATCAGTGAGATTCATTTCTGTACAAGTATTCTAAAATAAGTAAATATATAAAAAGATTGACTGCTCTGGTACTGCTACCTGACAGTGCTCATTTTCCTTATAACTCAAGAATAACCTACTGCAGTTGACACTTCAAAATTTCTAGCACAAGAATTTGCATGGTCTCAAAATTAAAATCTTAGAGTTAAATGTAACAACAATTGCCATTTTCCCAATCATACTATAAAACGAATTAACAGCAGGAATAGAGAACCTGAAATAAGAAGTCTGCATAAGCATTGACATTGCGCAGTAACGTTTGCTTTGCATGGTTCCTTCTGGACCTTCTTGAATGGTTGTTGAATCTCTGCAAATGAACAGTTATGAGCAACTGACACAATTTCCATTCACTATCAGAACTAAGAGATAGAATATAAGTTATTATTATTCAAAAGGGATGGAATGGGAGTAAGGAAACAAATGGATACAGATGAACCTAAAATTGACACGGCCTGCATATCAAATGCAGTGAAGAAATGTACAGCATAAGAGGAAACAGAATAACTTTCAATAATTCATTTTGTAAACTACAAAAAAAAATAATAATAATGATAATAATAAAAACTGGACCCACAGAAAAATAAGCAGAATTAACATATCTATGCCAATGCTTTGACGTAACTTGTGCAGGTACTAACAACATACTAATCAATCAAAAGGTAAGCATTATGGCAAAGAGACCTATCTTGGTTGTGCTGTTATGTGGGCTTAAGAGAAATACATAAATCAGAACCAAGTCAAGATCAATAGGATCAACTTCTTGTGCCAAAGATCTTACCATTTCCAAAGAAACTAGAGTTACATCCCTTTTCCAATTCCATTCAAGAGTTCTTATGTGTTTCCATGCCCCTTCGAGTGATGGATACCGTGTCAATATAACCATACTAAATTCAGCATTTCAAAGTTCCTCTTTGCATTCAAGGTTATTATTTTGATATTTCCATTCAACTAAAAGTGGGACCTCTAAATTAATGAATGGAGTAAGAGACAGTTGTGGCCTACTTGTCTTTTTATGAAAGCTTGAAATTTTACCACAATGCACTGGCTACTTGGTGAGAAAATGCAGAAAATCAATCAATGAACTTCAGCTCAGGAGCCCAACTTTTCATTTTCTGAGATAGATAACTTACAATACCCTCTACACATATTAGCTAATGAACTATTTCATTTGACCCTGTTTTCAGGCACACTCTCGTTTATAAGATTCCCAAAACAAAATGAAACATAATCCATAAAAATTTGTCTATTTCTCTTCCACTTATTTTTTTCACAGCCATAGAAAGCAGATAGAACGGGCAATCAATAAGGTTAAGAAAAAAAATACCAAAAGTATCAATCTTTTTTGGATTCTCATCTCATTGATGCATACCCAAATCACCGAAATTTTCAAACTTCAGCAGACACTATTAAAAATAAACAAAATGGAACATGACCCAGAAACATATATATATATATATATATATATATAGAGAGAGAGAGAGAGAGAATTACAGGTTCCCAATAGTTGCGTCTCTTACGATCCAAGACGGGGGTAGAATGAAAGAGGGCAGCCCTCATATAAATGCAGCAGTTGAGCTTTGAGTTCGTGACAGCCGCTTTCATGCCGCTATTCATTTTTTTCTGAGAATTGATTCTCAGAGAGAATCAGACATAGAGAGAGCTTAGAGAGGAGAAGCAAGCAGAGGTGAAGCCTACGGCCCTGAACCTACGCTCACGCTTCGCCGATGTACTATGGAAAGCAAATGTTATTTTGGGTCGGGTCGACCCGACCGTAATAAGCCATGAAGTCAAAAGAGGCCCTTGGCAAACTTGGGCTCCTTCTTTATTGGTTGAAACTTGAACATATTTGTGGACTTCTACGTTTGGGCTACGCAAGATAGGACTAGTGTATTTTGCACATTCGTTGTCCTTACAAAAGATGAGATTGAACTTATTAAATTGGAAAATGGTGGTGGAAAAGCCACTAAAGCTACAAAGAGTGTTATTATAATTCAAGCAATAAGTGACGTATGCACTTCAAAAGCATCATGCACCCACTACCATAATTCATTTTTCGTTTGTAGCTTTGGTTACCAATTTCTCATTGGTTGTGCCTAATAAAACACGGTCATGAACTGATTGAAGGGACTTCTCTTCGGCCCTGGCGCCTGCCGTTTCATCAAGCATTTCGCCCTCCTAAGAGCAAAAGAAAAGCTGCAAAGGCAGAATCCCCTCGGCCTCGTGATCGCAGTTTTGAAGGCCGAGGCCGAAGGCCGCAAAAGATACGATTTGAAAAGCGTGGTTGAATCGCCATGTGACCTCAGGGCCCCAAGCTCCATTTAATGAAGTAATGCCTCTAACTTCGCAGCAAAACCCACTAGTCACAAGAAGCATTCAATGCACGAGAGAAGTGACTGAAGTTAGGATTTGGTGATGGGAATCAGGGTGGTTAGGCGCAGACATTCTCACAAGTAATCTTACGACTTAGGGTCAGATCATCAACCACCAGTCCAGGGCATTAAATACGTTCCCACGGCCAAGGGGGCAGAACCCACGATCAGAGCGGTGGCCGAGATTTGCCGAGATTTATGGGGGTCACACCACCATGCTTCTCAACCCCAGACCACCATGCTTCACGATCCCAAATGCCGATTTGACTACCCACTTGCCCGGCCAGACTCCACCACGCAGGTCTTGTCAGCCTCGAATGTCCCTCCAAGACTCTTATAAATGCTAAGCTCAGAACTACATTCAAAAGGTTCAAACACCAAACCAAAAGCCTCCCACGGAGCAAATTATATTTTCTGTAATGCACTTTCAATACCTTTATTTGTTTTCTTAGGAGTAGTGGTAGACTGTAAGGAAAGTCCATTCATCAATATATCATACGACCCTTGATTTTCAAGACGCCGGAGCACTACCTCTGTTGTCGCCTCACTCACCCCATATATCATACGACCGTCGCTCTCTGAGCAACGCGCCGGAGCACAGCCTAAAAACCCACCACCAACACCACCACTAAACGGCCTTGTAGCTTAGGCCGTGAATCTGACGGCTGAGATTCGTTTCTCACTCGGTCACAATCGTTTGATTAGGAGTCGAACGCAAAACAGGCGCAACATTTAAACCATCTTCTACCCGAACCTCATCATCACCTCAACGCACGGTAGACCGTGCTGGCACGCCCGCGCACAACCGCACCGCATCCAAAAAGAGGACGTCAGGTGTTGACGCACATCCCCTCGTCCCAGAGCACCAGGCCGCGAGATTTGCGACGGACCAACACTCTTAGGTGGTGGGGGGGTCTTGCGTTGGTGGCGCAACTCGTGGGTTTTGGGTGGTGCAACATTTCCATGTTCTTTGTCTTAGGGTTTCCCGAGTGTGTGTTGTGTTTTATGGGCTTTTTCTTTTATATGGGCTTTATGCCTTTACCCTGTCTTTCGTGAGTTTAATAACTATAGTTGGCTCTATGTCTTTTGTATTGCATTTGGTTGAACTCATTTTTTGAGTATAACGTTTGTGTAATTGGCTTTGGCCTTCTATTGAATGAAACTCGATTCTGACCACACAAAAAAACTTATTAAATTGGACAATTGTCCCACCTCTTAGAGAAATTGTGGAACTTTATAAGACATGACTCAAAGTTCAATCTTATCCCTATCAGCCATTTAGGTGTTGTAACTCAAAAATATTAAGAGGAGTGTCCAATTGAAGATGAGGGATGGTAAATGTAAAGGAGTATAACATGTGGACCCATGAATTTATGAAAAGAAGTAAAACTAAATAAATAAATAAAAGCATGTCTCCTTTAAATAAAGAAGCATGCCCTTAACCCAAATTTTTTAATTGGTCCAATACATAGTTTGATGAGTAGGTGACATGGTTATTAAAAAAAAAGTGCTTCTTTTAGCATACAAGCGGGGACCAAACTAGCCATGATGACCGATCCCAAAAGAAAAGATGTTCACATGGATAAAGATGTGCAATTAGGATCTCCCTTGCTCACTAAATAATGGCTTTACCACACATTAACTGTAGCAAAAAGTACAACTTTTTCTGTTCGCCAATTATCACTGCAATGCAACTGGTTATACTTAAATCAATTAACCATGAGGTGATTAGATGACAATTTGGGGGGTAATTCCTAAATGTCAAACTCTAGATGACACCATCAATTTTGGTGTGTATTCGATTGTTGGGTTAGAATTTTTTGTTTTTGTAAAGATGAGACGAAGAATCTCTCAAATAAATTTCAGCGCCCTGCATATGTTCGATGTTTGTTTTCATTGTGAGACATTTTGCCAACAACACTGTTCTAAGTAAAAAATCTCTGCCCCAATTCTTAAGAAAACAAAATTAAAATATAAGGAAGAAAATTAACTTCCCAAGGATTATCGACCTTGCTTACTCCTTGATGGGTATATTGCTTGTTTGTTTAACAAAATTATCGTCGCATGCAATGTTTTAATTACAATTAACTTTTTATATACTTGTCACATGATCAATTATTGTGCGACAATATCTTTACACAATTTGCAATGCATTTAAGATTTATTGGAATATTATGAATTATTAAAATAATGCATTGGATTATAAAAAATAAAAAGAAACCAAGAATGATTTCCTTAAAAGAAAAAAAAAAAAAAAAGAAAAAAAACTTTTATACAAGGCAGCCTGCCTCCAAGACGGGTGACCACGTTGTGAGCTTTTGCCGGTAGTTATGCCGTTTCACGTTACGAGTCTGTGACGACCGTTTGAGAGTTTTAGTTTAGAGAGTTTTAGGTGTTCCGTCTGCCGTTGATTTCGCTGTTGACTAATTCACCTGGTCAACGGCTAAACGGAACAATCGACGAGAACAAGGGCGGTGCGTGCAAGTGTCCGTGGATGTGACCGCACGTGAACAAACACGCCGACATGATCTCCAATCAGTTGGAAACGGAATTGCTGAGTTGGCATTTGCTCTTTTCGCACCGTCCCATGTATGATTACTACCACCCAACCCCACACACCCCCACCCTCCCACTAAAATAAAGTGCTTCAAGAGGGCATCCTATTTAGAATACAAATTCTATTTTGTGTGACCAATTTGCCCCCCAACTCTATATTATTTGACAACTATACAAGTATGAGGGCATTTTTGGAAATCAAATTTTGGTAGTAAAGTAGTGAACTTTACCCACCTAATTGGCATGTAGGTTTGTCTAGGTGACTTGAAATAGACGCATAAATCTAACCATGAGATGCACCATGTGGTGTGCTAAAATGGTGTATTGTGTATCTAAGTTTATTTTTTTTAGAGAAATTGTGTATCAAGTTTATTATTACTGATATGTGTTATAATTTGAGTCAATTTGATACATCACAAACAATACATACATGCTATGATGATGTTCGTATTTTGAAATTTATTTTTTTTTCGAATACAAACGATAGTCTAAACTACAAAGGGGAAAGGGAGTTTCTCGCACACGCACTACCAAAGTATTATAAGGGTTCGAACTTGAAATCACTGGTCTACAAACTAAGACCATTTTTCATCGGGCTAGACCCTGTTGGCTGAAAAATTATTCATATATCATGAAGTTGAAAATAACATTACATTCGAGAGTTTTGATGTGCTTTTGAAAGTACCTATTCAAATACATCACACCACTCAATAATTAATGACAAAAAAACTAATTATATGAGCCCTTTTTTTTTATAAGTTCACTAACAAGGCTCATAGATGACGCTTCTTAGTAATGCTCTAATAACTAAAATTAATTTTAAATTTTCAAAATGCCAACTAATGTGAGTGTCTTTCTTCTTCTTTTTTCAAACATCGCTTTAAATCTTATTTACTCAGCAAATAAAATCACTCAAAATCTGATATATTAAGTACTATTTCAAATTTTTGAAAAATAATTAATAACTCAATTATTATTAAGGAGCAGTTACATTTCGATGTACTATATGGGCATGTTTCCTGATATGCCCTTGGTCATAAACACAAAGGACGGGTGGACCATTAGCACTAATAGCAGGGGCATATCAGTCCTCGCAATAGCAAAGACCGAAAGTGAGCCAGCTGTTTCCTCCATCAACGTGACTCGTCATGGGGTCCGTTGATCAGATATTCGTAGCCGACGGTCAGGATCTCGAGAGAGCGAATTTGAGGTTCATTTAAGCTGAATTTCATTTGGGAGAGCTTCCTTTTTTTAAACGAGAGGGCGGGTACCTCAGCCATTCTGTTAAGACAAGAGGCAGACATCTCCAGAGAGAGAAACAGAGAGAAAGATTGTGTTCTATTTCCATTCAAAGGTACTCTTTTTTATTCTTCTTCATTTTTTTTTAATTTAAATTTTTGCATTTTATTTGATTTTTTATGCCATCTTGTCTGGTTATTGGGCATGATTGTTGAAAACATTGATGAGTTTTGCTTGATCATCTCAAAATTATCTACATTTATGATTTTTGAAAACATTGATGGGTTTTGCTTGATCATCTCAAAATTATGCTCTTGAGGCATTGGATTGATATTTCCTCTCAATTTTGATGTTTTAATGATGATGATCTGCATAACCTGCTTGTTGATTTGATTTCCCATTATTTTTAAACTAAGCCAGCATCTTTAGCATTTCTTATTCTTGGGTATCAAATTGGTGCATCAAATTGCACATACTAATAATTTACAGATGCATATGAATGTGATCCAAGGGATGAGCACTTGTTTACTATAATTTGATGCAATGCTGGTTTGTTTCTGCAGCAGGCAATAGAAAATGGCAGAATCTGAAGATATTCAGCCTCTTGTTTGTGACAATGGTACTGGAATGGTGAAGGTAATGAGCCCATAACCATTCTTTTGTGATCCCAAAATGGCTTTTCTTTTCAAAACCGTAAAGGAATTTTTCTTTAAGGTTGATCATAGTATCAAAGTGATGAATATTATCTGATCTTGATGATGCAGGCAGGATTTGCTGGAGATGATGCTCCAAGGGCTGTATTTCCCAGCATTGTTGGTCGCCCTCGCCACACGGGTGTGATGGTTGGTATGGGGCAAAAGGATGCCTATGTAGGGGATGAGGCTCAATCAAAAAGAGGTATTTTGACCTTGAAATATCCGATTGAGCATGGTATTGTTAGCAATTGGGATGACATGGAGAAGATCTGGCATCACACATTCTACAACGAGCTTCGTGTTGCCCCAGAAGAGCATCCAGTTCTCCTGACAGAAGCACCCCTTAACCCCAAGGCCAATCGTGAAAAAATGACTCAAATCATGTTTGAGACATTCAACACTCCGGCTATGTACGTTGCAATCCAGGCTGTCCTTTCCCTATACGCTAGTGGACGCACAACTGGTAAGCCATTCAATTGAGTACTTGATTTGTTTTCTTTCTAAGATGCATGGTCATTATATGAAAAATATTAAAAAAAAATTGAACCAAATAAATTTGCAATGGATCTCATAGGAGAATAAATACACATGTAAAATAGACATTAATTTGTTTGCTAAGTTGAAAACACAGAGACAACTGTGTGCATCTCATTATTAAAACATGTTCTTATAATGGGGGAAAAGAATCAAATTCATGCTTTATAGGCAAATTCAAGTTGGTTTATCAAATTTATCATATAACTTCCATTTCCCTTAATCTATTGCGTACCTGCATTTCATTAAGTAAGCTCATAGGAAATCCTTATACCACCTATTGCATGATTGCATTCATGATATAGCGCAGGGGAACCAAATCTCTTTGTACCACCTATTGTGTTCATCATTTAAGCACAATGGTACCAGATGATATTTGCAAAAGTACTGTGGAAGAATGCTTAAAAACCTTGAATAAATAAAATTAAAAATTGGTTTTTAAACTTTGATTTCTAATGTTTTGTGGTCATGTATGTTTTGCTGTTTAGGTATCGTTCTCGACTCAGGGGATGGTGTGAGCCACACAGTTCCAATTTATGAAGGGTATGCCCTCCCACATGCCATCCTTCGTTTGGACCTGGCAGGTCGTGATCTTACAGATGCCCTTATGAAAATCTTGACTGAACGTGGTTACTCTTTCACCACCACTGCTGAGCGGGAAATTGTGAGGGACATGAAGGAGAAATTAGCATATATTGCTCTTGACTATGAACAAGAGCTAGAGACTTCAAAGACCAGCTCATCTGTGGAGAAAAGTTATGAGCTACCTGATGGACAGGTGATCACCATCGGGGCTGAAAGATTCCGCTGCCCTGAAGTCCTCTTCCAGCCATCCATGATTGGAATGGAAGCTGCTGGTATCCATGAAACCACATACAATTCTATTATGAAGTGTGATGTTGATATTAGGAAGGATCTCTATGGCAATATTGTCCTTAGTGGAGGCTCCACTATGTTCCCTGGCATTGCTGATAGGATGAGCAAAGAGATTACAGCATTAGCTCCAAGTAGCATGAAAATTAAGGTCGTAGCACCACCGGAGAGGAAATATAGCGTCTGGATTGGAGGCTCCATTTTGGCATCCCTCAGCACCTTCCAACAGGTAATGTGTTGTGTGTGTCGGTATGTGTGCATCTATTTTACTCACTCTACTGATGCATTTTAAACTTAGAGTAACATGACCCGAACTGAGTTTTCCGAAAGCAAAAAAGGTTGGTATTTGTAAAGAACATTGTACTTAATTGGAAACAGCTGAAACACCTCTTTTACTTTGACAAAGTGCTAATTTGATGCTTCATTAGGAGGTAAGTAATGTATTTGTCACTGAAAGCTACTTGTCTTTGAATGCAGATGTGGATTGCAAAGGCAGAGTATGATGAATCTGGTCCCTCAATTGTCCACAGGAAATGCTTCTAATCATGCAAAGCAAGAGGTGGACAGAGAATTTACACTTAACAGATTTTGTATTAAAGAAAGGCTTCTATTTAAGTGGTTGCGGAATTTCTTTTTCTATTCATTTTCCAATTTCATTCATGTCTATTTCTCTGTGTTTGTTATGTTGGGACATGAACATGGAGGCGAGCAAATTATGATTAAGATTCAATTTTTTCATTACTGCTTTGTTGTAGAGAAATTATGTATTGTTACTGATTTGGTTTGGTTGAAATCAGAAATCCCCTTCATTATTATTATTATTGGTTCTTAGATGAAGCTTCTTTGGTTGGTTGAAGAGAACCTATACCTTTCATTTGTGATGCTTTTTGCTATTCAGATAGCAATTATGTCATTATCTCTATATATTGTGACAAATTCTGAACCAGATACGTTCGAATCCCGAGAGGAAACTGAACAGAGAAACAAAATCTGTACTTTCTATTTGGCTTTTGGACCCAACAAATTCTGTACAAAATGCGGTGGATGGAGTGAATAAGAAATTGGAATTTTCTTCTCTGTAGTAATGATGTGCTTGGGTCAAGTCCACGTTGGTTGCCATATCATGTACCACGTTAGTTGGTATCAAAATATTGAGGTCGGCAATACCCTAAAATCACTTTTTCAACTCCAAAATAATCATCATACACTCCATGGTGGAAAAAAAAAATTGAAAAGGAAAGGAGTTCAAGATGCTTATTATGAAGGGCTAATAATAATTCCTTTCTTAAAAGACTTTGACCTAATTACATCAATGCTAGACATAAAAAGAATCCAATTTCTCACTCATTCGTTCCAGAGCATTTGGAATCTTTGTTGCTGTCTCTATTTATGGCATGGCCAGAGACAAGATATTGATTTTTATGGGTGGTACCTTTAGCACCAACAAAACCAAGCTGGAAAATGTGCTTTTACATTTCCTAGATTTTAAGCAAACCTGACAGGTGTGCTTAATGATAGCCTGATTGGAACATGCCAAAGTAAGTGGTGAAGATGTCTTGACTTGTAACCCAAGTATTATTCTTTCTCACAAAGCAAACCATTGGGTTTTACTATTGAGTTGGGGATGTAGTGATGAACTGCTATAAATAAAAAACAAGGGACTGGAAAAGCAACAAGCCCAACAGATGAGCATAATGGTATGTTACACAAATAGGTAAGGTGTGAGAGATCTATAACATGGGATGTTTGTTCATCTCAAACGGCCACAAGCCATGATTCTGAAATAAGTTTCTTTGATACAATCGAAAATCGAAATCACACAGTTAAAGATGATGTTTGGTATGGTATATCAAATTTCATCCCTAAGAACTGTACAGTCCTAGTGAAAATGAAAAACAACACAGTGAAAGATGTTCATAACAATGGCTTGCCTCATAAAAGAAGATAAGCTTGATATTCTCCATTTCAGACTTACACCATTGATTTTCCAGACACTTGTCATATGGTAAAACTCATCGAAGATGACAAATTACTTCACTAGCTCCACATCCTTAAGAAAACTAACAGTAGCTAAAAGCTTAACAAGAAGATTTATTAAAACCAAACAAATTTCACAACTTTTGGGTGTATACAGACTCCAATTTATGAACCCCAAAAAATCTGAAGCTCTCCCATAGCTTTGCCTAGGGTGCATAGTTTTATGGAAAGAAATCACTTTATATAAGAAACTTCAAAAAGGAGTAAAGTAAAGCTGGAAGAAACAACCCAATGTTAGAAAAATGTTGAAAGAAAATAAAACTTGCTGACCCTGGTCTCTTACCAGACCCAGCAAACCAAGTTACTGGGTGTTACGGACTTCACATTTATATCAATCCTTGAAAATGTTAAAACTTGATGGCCCAACAGTGTCAATGAACCCCTTTACTGACAGCTCAGGTGCTGGCTGTTTTTTCTCCAGCAAATCATGATCTATAAAAATGACGACAATCGTAATATCATCGTGAAAGAACCGCCTAACTCCCTTTTCAACCTTCTTAAGGTCATCATATCTCATCTCCCGTTTCCTAGCTGCTTCACTCAGAGCTGTTTTAAGAAGTCTTTTTGCAATTCCCTGGCATTTGTGAAAACAACAGAAAAAATAACTATTGATATCTATATGATACAGGGAAAAATTGACAAAAGAGGCATTGAAAGAAAAAAACATACTGCTCGAGGATTATTATGTACAATCTCCACAGCTTCCTGATTTGTCATATGCTCCCATAGTCCATCGGATGCAAATATTATAAACTTATCATTGGGTTGTAGAACTCTGGTACATACAGATGGTTCTGCTGTAAGCACAGGCCGACCGAGGGGTTCAGGAAGGTGGAACCTCGGAAATGTAGGATCAAGAGAAAATTCTGGCCTCTTTAAGTATGCATCACCGATAGATCTAGATACCTGAGAGGAAGCATGGAAACACACAAAGGGAGAAATATAAATAATTAGTAATAGGTTGTCAATGATCTTATCTCACTGGCAAATCAACTTCATAAAGTACACAACAGAGGAATTTAAATGTCCGACTTCCAGTGTGCATACCAGTTAATTAAGCAAGCACATAGCATTTGGAGAGGAATGAAGAAATACAACACAAAAAACCTAGTCCTGCAGAGTCTCAATATACATGACTAATGCAACAATAACCACTAATTGCACTTGGACTAGAGAAGGGGTAGGAGGAGCGTCATAGTATCAAATTATAACTGCTAATGCATGCATTTGTCTTTTCCATACATTTCTTGAGAAGGCATGTACATATATTACTGCAATCCTTAAGAATCCAACACAATTATGGTAAGGTAATTGCAAACATTTACAAAATTCGTAAGCCATAAATCACAAATGGACTCATTTTAGAAAGTGGGCATCCTTTCAAGAAGGACGTTAAAAAGGTACATCAAATATCTTTAAAAACTAGAAATAAACAACCATGGCAGTTAAAAAGAGACAAAAAGTGAGTAAACCTGTATGATGCCTTTGATACGCCAAACTCCATGCTTCATAACTACAATATGTGAATCATTTGGATGCAAGGACCTGAGTTCTTGTCTAACCTCCTCCAAACTTGCATTATGCTCCTTATTTAGCTGCTCACCAACAATCTTATTCGATCTACCTAAAGAACCAATTACTGCTCTCGAGTCTCCTAGATTAGCAACATACAACGTCCCTCTCCAGACAACTCCAACCAGACAACAAGACCCAATTGCTGCCATTAATGGTTTTATTCCACAAGTCCTACGCACAAGAGTAAGGAACCCATCCTCAGTTGCAGAAAAGGCACTTCTAAGGATATCTTCAGATAGGGCTCCTTTTTCTCGAGCATGTCCTGTAAACACACTTAAATAAGTTACGATTTGTAAAATCCAAAAGTACTTCAAGTATGGCACAATAGCAATTGGAGGGTGAAGCCTAGAATACAGATAATAAGCCGTGGTGCAACAAAGAGTATCAAACACGTCTATGTTTCAAGAGAGACCTTCAATGTTGTTGAAGTGTCTGGCGAGTAAATTCCTCAAGGGATGTTAACATGTACAAAAGAAATGCCTGTATTCTTAAACTATCTTCCTCATCCACTTCCACAATCACATATAGCTAAAAGCCTCTCTATCGGGATCTCAAAACAAAGGGTCTGGCTCTGGAGTGGAAGAGAAAGGCAATGCAATAAAGAAACACAAAGATCTCTATACATACACCAGAAAAGAAAGAAAATAAACTGCACTCAATAAACAAAAATCTTATCATTTTCTATAATTGAACATCCAAATCTACTCCAAGTATGCAGAACAAAATAGATAAACAACATAACTCAACCTCCAATCGAGTCCATTAATGGAACCAATTTTCTCGCCCAACTTTTCTTTTTCAAGATAAATAAGTTGGATTTCTTCAAATAACAGCACCAAGACAACCCCAACTGGCAAAGGACAAGTCGGGGATGCAGAGAAGAAAAAAAAATCCCAAAAATGAAAAAACATAAAATTTAACCAGTAGAGAAAGCCAAGACTCTGCTTCAAACATAATTCACATTTAAAATGATAAGATACAGGAACAACAACAAGAACAGAAGAAAACAAACAACCCCTTTTTTTAAAAAAAAACACACACACAAATTCACAAAATTACAAACAACTCCAACAATCCCAAGAAAAGCCAAAAAGAAAAAGAAAAGAAAAAACCCACAAAACCAGAAACCAAGAAGAGAGGGGCTCACTCATAAGATGAAGAAAGAGATGGTCAGAAATGAAGCGAGACGCGTCAGGTCCACCATGCCCATCATAAACACCAACAAAGGTGGCATCACGGCCAGTCTCAACTTGGCTCTGATCCTCAAGAACTTCATTGGCCTGGACCACAGCGAAGGAGAATTCACCATAGGAGTGCTTGTCAAGGCTTCTGCACCATAACAAAGGATCTTCAAGAGATGAGTCATCAAGATCATCCTTGCTCATACGGGCATATCTCCTCACTGGCTTCCAACACGTCCACGCTATCCTTGCCAGCCACGAAAACATCCCTCATTTCCCAAACCCAACACTGCTTTTACTCTGTAATACAACTACCCCTTTGCCAATATGTAGTGTTTTGTGTGGAAAAAAAAAAAGTAAAGGAGGATGGATTTGGTTCACTTGGTTTAATAAAGTTGCAAAATTTGGGAAAGATTGGAGCTTGGGATTGAAAAAGCCAAAAGGGGTTGTGATTTTGGGAACAAGGACTTGAAAGGCTTGGTGGGTTTGTGTCTCTTCTCTGTCTCTGTTTGTGTATTGAGAGAGAGAGAGAGAGAGAGAGAGAGAGGAGAGAGGAGAGAGGTTTTGCAGAGCAACTACTACTGGGTGGAATGGAAGGGGAAAGTTGACGAAAGCGTGTGAGAGGCACTCTTTTTTCTTCTTTTTTTAAGTTTTGTTTTTCTTTTGTTTTTTCGAAATGGTGTTTTCGATTGACGAAAATGCCATTAGTACGATGACTAAATTACAGGTATACCACTGAATCGAGATGATAACCGGCCGCGGATTTGGCACAACTCTGTTTTCAAATTATTTTCTTTCCTTTTTTGTTAGAATTCAAATTATTTTCTTTTGTGGGTCTCACCTTCACATTATTCATCTCACTATCATCCATTGTCTTTTTCTAAATTTCTCATCTTATTTTAATTTTAAAAAATATTTATAAAAAAAACAAATATGACCGAAGGCTACTAGCTAGCCATGATGCCCTCATTTTTGTAATTTTTGTAAATATCCATTTTAAAATTGAATAGTTTATTCATCAATGCGGAGGGTACAATTGAAGTCATCCTTCACATGAATAGTCAAAATAAAATTTAATTTTTAAGGGTTTCAAAAATTCAAATCTTCCCTTCTTCTTTAACCTTCTTTGTACCACCCCCCCCCCCCCCCCCCCCCCCAAAAAGGGTTAAAAAAATATAAAGAAAATTATTATTCTTTTTTGTTGTTGCCAAAATTAGAAAGAGAATAAGGAAAACTCACACACATGAGCATCATGGAAGCTTGAACTCAAGATCACTTAAGAGCACACCAAAAATCTACTCTGATTCTACTAACACCACAGTGGTGCACATTCATATTCTTTGGTTTTAATATTAAAATTCTGAATTTTTTTTCCTTTTTGTCTTAAAATATCATTAATGGGCAGAGCTATGGCCCTATGGGCCTCACATACTTTTTATAAATAAACAAATATAAAAAAAGTGAAGCTTTTCTTTAGCATATATACATAGGCTTTAGCTTCTTGCAATATCACCCATGTGCAAGCCGCAAATGACTATGAATTGATGCATAATATAAGCTATACAGCTTATCTTCTCCAATTATATACAACTAGAAAACTAGTCACAATATTATTTTCTTTTTTTTCCTTTTTTCTTTATTAAATTTTAGAAGACTTTGTTGACAAAAATATATTCGATCAGATCCCAACACCCCAGAACACGTGTGAGTGATTGGGTAGGTGTAGGTGTAACCATGTAAGCTTATCAGAAATTAACTTTTGTCCTTTGGATGAATGGAGGAAATGCAGAGGCAGAGACAGAGGTAGAGGAGGGTAGAGGGCATGTTGTTTTCCAAGAAAGAAAATAAATAAAGGGAAGATGGTAGGGCTAAACACATGAGGCATGTGAAAGTGGGATCTTTTTTTTTGGGTGTTAAAATCTAAGGTAAGCTAATCCATACAGAGGCATTCATGGGATGGTGCAGTTGCAATTAAAGATGTTGTTGCCACAGATGGGATCACATTTGACCCCATAAATCCCATCAGATGGGTTTGTGTTGTTGTGGTCAATGTCACATGTACAAGTGCTGCTCTTTTAGTTGGCCAACAAAATGGGTGGGTTGGAAGCTCCACTCTAAAGTAAACTCTCTATGAAATGTAATGTGCCATAGATAGGATAAGAGCTTGGGAATTTAGGGTAGTCTCCAAAATCTTGAGAAATAATCTTCTTTTGTTAGATTTATGTTGGGAGAATATCGGATTCTTGCAAAAGTCTATTTGATCGATAGTTTAAATTAACAATTTAACAATTAAAGCAGCTCATGTTGTCGAATAATCTGTCAAAATCTTGAGAAATGATGTTCTTTTATTAGATTTATGTTAAGAGATTATTGGATTCTTGCAAAACTCGATCAAATTGATAGTTCAAACTAATAGTCTGACAATTGAAGCATCTTATGTTGATCAAACAATCTGTCAAGATAATATTGAATATTTTTTGAGTTAAAGAACTAAAATGGTACTTAATTTATTCATTGTGGAAAAAGAAACAATATTACAGATTAATGAGAAATATATATTGGATGCAAGATTTACACAAGGCTGACTGAGACCTTCCAACTAGAAATTTCTGGAATTTAAGAGACTGTCTGTGAGCTAGGTAATGTCACTTATCAAACGCTTGTGCCTATTGTAATGCTTCTCCATGAAAACCTTTGAAGCCCCTTCTATGGTCCTTCTCCATGTCTGCACAATAGATAACAACAGAAGAAAAAGTGTTGGGGGGTTAAATGTTAGAAATCAATGACATCAATATAAGTTGACTTTTGTTTCCCACTTGTAATATAATATAAACATTTACAAAGCCTTTATCAAAGAAGAAGACATTTTTTTCTGTTTCTTCTTCACATCTCTTATTTCTTAATTATTTTTCCCTGCCCCTCCGTAATAAAAATGGAGATGGGCATAGGTTAGCCGGCAAATTGGACCAAGCTAGTGACAGCTTTACCAGCAGAAAAAATGCTGCAACAAAGAGTTGCTGCAGTTAGAAGAGTGAGAGGGGCAGAGTTTGGTGAGTACACTAAGCTAGCCTATGGATGGGAACAGGCTAACAGATGATAGGGTTTTCTTATAGTTGGTGTTAGTTTTTTACCAAGTGCTAGAACTGCTTGAGCACCCAATTAAACAGATAATTATGAGTACAAATACATTGGTAGCCACAAAGTTGTTGATCAATATGGTTCCAATTTGCCTTAATTTCCTGAGAGGTTAACTTTTGTTGTAATAAAGCACCTAGCAGGAAGGAACCCTTCTGGAAATCATGTAGCAAGGCTTTGGAATGTAACACCATAATATCGCAGCCCACACACAAAGTTGACATGATAGCTTAACATGATGTGGTTCAAGTGGAAAGGCTAACTAATTTCTCAGCAAAGCTTTCATTGTTCCGGTATTCTAATCCAATCACGCATGGTCACCTTAGTTAGCCCATTGCAACAATTATGTGGTTTAGTTAGCCCATTGTGACGGTATTCCAATCCAATCACGCATGGTCATCTTAGAAAGTTGATTTGGCTTGGATGTTGCTACATTGACATTCCTTGTGGTGTACCGTGTAAGTAACTTTTCTTTTATTGGCTTTGGGAGACGGTGAATTAACAATGGCTGTGAGGGATTTTGTTTTTCAAAGAAAGTAAGAACAACAATCACTTACTTTTGTAACCCCAATCACGAAATTCCCATTGATTGCTACACTAAATTTCAAGCCTAGAGGTTTTTTCTTATCTGGGTAATAATTACATTTACATTTACTGATTTAAACACAGTTTAACACACCCATTTAAATTAGTTGGATTTTATTTTTCACCTTAGTTCATTGGCAAATTGGCGACTAAAACAGATAATTAACTCGAAGATTTGATCAAAACATGGGATGTAATAAAATAAAATCCAACCTTGTGAATGGCACCAAAGAGAGACTTGTTCCTGATATCCCTGGCCCTGAGTTGTGATGCCCTGCCATGAACCCCAAGTTGCCTAAGCAATGCCTTGTTCTTAGTCCCAGCAGCAGGAAGCAGAGACCTCCTCTCCACTAAGCTGCTCTTGCCATTTGATGGGCTCTCACATTGCTCCCCTTCACCACTTGCCCGGTTTCTCACTTTCCGGCGTTTCGACACCCGAATCACTTGTTTCTTTTCCGGGGCCTCCTCAGCCTCATCCCCTGAATCAGCAAACTTTCTTAGCAGCTCATCGGAGGACTTCTTGTTTACATGTTGAACACTAGCTGAGGTAGCAGCAGGAGCTGGAGTTGGAGTTGGAGTTGGAAGAGGGTCCATTGTAAATTTGTGACTTAAGAATATGAGAGAGAGAGAGAGAGAGAGAGAGAGAGAGAGAGAGAGAGAGAGTGTAAATTGCAATGTGGATGGATTTTATGTGTATGTTGTTGTGTTGGTGAATTTAGAGGTTAATGTATGTGTGGGAAATGGACCGTTGGGGTTAGTGAATGATTTGAATAACAAGGACTTGGAAAATATAGCCGTTAGGGAGAGAATAATAGACAAAACTGTCTGGTGCAAGACAATGCAATGTATTATTGGGCATGTGATTTTGTGGACATTATTTAGTTAGCGTACCAAAATTCCAATTTGCCATTTTACATGCGCGCCCCCCACGTTCACGCTGACAAGTTCTGCAGATGATGATGGCGTCAAAGTTGGATCTGGTTCGGGTTTTGGACCCAACAACGGTAATAAATGGGTTTGGGTTTGGATACTTTGGGCCAGAAGGCCCACAACGGTTAAAGGGCAGGCTTCTAAGTTCTAAATGCACCCAAAAAATTTGATCAGTCATGCTCTTGTTTACAGTCGGTCGGTTTATGGTTTCATAAAAAATTGTCGGTAACCACCGATTCTACCTCTAATTAGCACACCCAACCCTGGGGCATAATTTTTTTTTTTTTTTTTTTTTTTTTTTTTTTTTTTTTTGATGTTGGTGATGCTATGATTCTTGGAATCCATAAATAAATTGTATCAGTTGATAAAATCTACTAAAGTTTGAAACTTCATTAAACATCTTCAATCACCAGAATGCCTACTTGAAAATAAATACAACAAAAATTACACCAAAAGCCAATTTTATAAATATAGGATACTCTATAAGCAAAATGTTTAAAATTAAAAATAAAAATAAGTGGCAGGTTTTGGCTCCACAGATTCATCCCATTGGGCTTTCTCTTCAGGGATCTCCACAACTGCTGCTAGAGGATGTACTGATAGCCACAAACTACTGTAAATCCTTTATAACATTTTGGAAGCCTGAAATTACAAATTTCCAATTTTAGTTGAGAAAATTTCAGTAAGAAGCTGCTGAATGTTGGCTTCCAGACATGTATTTTCACATATTTATGTAAGATAAATCAATGTCAACTTGTCAAATGAAGCAAAATCACTCCCATGAAAGGAACAAACAATAGCATGGGGAGCTGATGCAAGTTAGATCCCTTTGCCCCTCTTAAATTTTTGACATGTAACAATGACTGACTAGTTATTGGTTGAAACTCAATAAGTGATTCTGATTTTTATTCACGTAGGACTAGTTAAAATCCATTGAACCGAGTTTTAAGTCATCAATGCTCCTATAAGATTACTTCTAAATATTTTCTAATTGATAATCATATGTGATATTTTCAACTGAAACAACGCAAATAACATGTGTATTTCAAAAGATGAAGCATGCCACAGAACATTATAATGATGTGTTCTTTCAGAATTTGTATTGACTGGAGGCAGCAGATTACGAAGAATTCAGAGTTCTAATTGATAAACCTCATACCGTGTTGTTATGAGCTGAAGTGAGTCCCAAAACTGAGCGTATGGCATTCAAGATTTCCCAAGTTTAGCTGCAAAATTGGGAAACAGAACATTTAAGGGATCAAGGTGTCATTATAGACAAGACACGACAAACATGTCTAACATCAATACTGACAAACATGTCTAACATCAATACTGACACCAGAACTTATTCCTCAAGAACTTTCAGCTTGCCTCGAATATACAACAACTTACCACAACAGCAACTCCTGTCTCACAGAATTTAGGAATGCAAATGAGTCTCACCATCTGCCCTTCAGATCCTGCAATCGGAAGGTTGTATACTACTCAACTGATAGAAAAAATAAATAATTAAATTTTTTGGCATGAAAAGTAATATTATATAATATGATTACTAGAGTTACAGTTGACCCCCAAAAAAACATACTAGAGTTACAAGATATACCCTTTATTAAGCGGCTATCATATTTATCCTGATTACCAATGAAGTAAACATGAGGGCAACTCTCAATCAGGAAAGGATCCCTGTCTGTGAAAGGATAACACCCTGAAAGATAACAAGAGTATTAATTTTAATCTCAAATTAGAGAGGAACTCAGCCTAGCTGAAAATATCCAAACCAAAAAACCACTTTAACAAGACAAATTGACTCGGATGACCAACAAAACCACACAAGCAGAAGGTAAAATTTCATACCAAGAGTATTAGGTGCTGTTGGTGCCAGATGCCTCCACCTCAATGTCCTTTCAACAAATTCAAGTTTATCCTTTGCTTCTGAATACTTTTCAAGATCATCTATATTTTGACCCGATGTTCCAAGAAATCTGAAAACCACGTTACCAGTATGTCAAAATAAGTACCTAATAAATAATACCAAAACAAAATTGTTGATCAACAATGCCAAAAGTCAAATTCGATTTACAATTTTACCTGATATCATCAAGATCAAAGCAATGGGGATTAGTACATGATCTAAATGTGTTATAAGCTGATGACCCAGGGAAAAGGCATCGGTTCAAAGGCTGAAAGGAAAGGAATATTAGCTACAAACAAACCTTCTGCGGCAAGGAAAAATTGCTGCATATATACTTTCAAGGACATAGATCAAACCTGCTGCGGCAAGGCAAAATTAGCAGGGTCATCGAGACCTGGCATGATATCCAAAGGCAAACCTGCAGCAATCTAGCATAAGTAGATTAAATTAAGCAGTCTGATTCATGATAGGAACATAGGCGCGGTATTGACTAATCAAACTGATAAAAAGAACCTGAGTCAACAAAATATCCAGCTCCTTAATTGGCTCAGACAGCCTTGATTGATCCTTTGACGCTAAATTCTACAAACAATGAACAAAATGACTATTAGAAAGAAAACTACTACATTTTGCTTGGAAATTTAAGAAACTAAACTACAACATTTCTAAGCTTCCCATTTTATTATTTCAACAAAAGATTAAAAGAAAAAAATCAAAACTATATTTAATCACATTGCCGCCTCTGCACCTACAATTTATAAGTAATCATTAAACAATTTTATTCTGCCTTATTATCAGGGACATATAAATGTGTTACCTGTCCATTAAGAAGTCCACGAGGAACTTCAATAGAATTTCCAGCAATAACAACATGAACTATTTGTGCTGCAATACCTTGCTCCTGTTCAACGTTGTACAAAGTTAGTATGTTAAGACAGTTTAAAACATAATGAACAGCACATGATCTTGAAGGAAACGATGGCATGAACCTTCTCATCTCCTAAATGTCCTGTAATATGATCAACAAGAAGCTGAAACTGGAGAGGGTTTGAAAAGCTGCTTCCAACACGAAGTCCAGACACAAAGACAACATACTTGTCTTCTCCTGCATGCAGACAAATTAAAATTAATGAAAAAAGAAAATTGAATAGTGAAAGATGCTAGAACATAAATACCAGAGGAAATGAGAAACTACATACAAGACAATTACTAAAACTTAAAAACCAAAGTAAATGAGGATCGAACAACAAATAGCGACTTCTGTTTTTCTTTTAGTTTCTTTATGAGCACAACATTGTAATTTTATAGAAACTGAGAAAACCTCAAGAAAGTTCAAAGGGACTAAAAGCAAAGACTTTCCACTTTATACTCAAAGGTTTCAAGTTATATTTCCTGTGAATTTAGCTCCTCTCTAGACATATTATCTTACAGCCAATGTTGTCTAACATATTTCTGCATAAATTCGACCTTTTGCTGTTTAGCTTCTCTCTAATCATCTCTCACCAATATAAGATGAAGGTTTAAAGAAACAAGTGGCCAAACACAAACTTTACAGAAAAGAAGAAAAATTGCAAAATAAAAGAGAGCCAGGTAAATCAGATTATACTTGATTTAAGTGGCAGCTCTATCTGGGGTGGCAAGCCAGCTTCAAGAACATCTAGGACTAAGAAGTCACCAGCATCAGTCTCCTTTCCATGCAAACCAACAATACTCCCTGTCACCATGTTATTGTAGAATAAGCATGCTTCAATATTGATTTCATATTAAATGTTAAAAAATTTGGACACTTCCATAACAAAATGAACAATTCAAATGTCATAATTATGCAATCAAAGGAAAGCAAGTAAAATAGGCCCAACAGATTAAGCTTCATGTAGACTGAATCAAGACAAAGCGGATTAGAGTTTCCGAATAGCATATGGGACTAAAAGCCACAAGCACTTTATTGCCTCACAGAAGCCCAAAAGACCCCAAAATCCCACCAAAAGAAGAAAAAAAAATTTATATATAGAGCATTTTTCTTTCTTTAGTGTAGTATTTTGTTTGACACAGACCTGTTACATATACAGAAGGTGAAAGCATCCCAGCAAGCTTTACTCTTCCACTTTCATCTTCCAAAACCAGATGGTCATCCGGGTGCACAAAATTATGAGGCTTGACAAGTGGTGTCGTAGATCTCTGTAAAAATTGCAATATTGTCAGAAGAATTAAAAAAACACTCCATAACTTAACGACCAACACTGCACATGTACACTACCGTCTTAGAGTACTCATCAAGAATACAAGGTTTGAGTTTCATGTGCTTGTACAGGGTTCCAACAACAATGCATTCCTTGTCCTTTTCCAATCCCAAAACTGTGCAAACTACAACACCATACAGAACGCCTATTATATCAGATTACCATTTTACCAGAAACCCAAATCACTGTTACTTCAAACATTAACACAAATGTTTCACCGAAACAAAGAGCATTAACATAAACATAAATGAAAACCAAAATCCAAACAAGTAGCCAAAAAGATACTGCCTTGATTCTAACCCAAAGGCATGCACTAAAAGTTGACCCTCATATAAATCAATAACCAAAATACTAAAGGGGAGCTGTCATTGGCACTCTAAAATAGTCAGTCTGCAGTTCCCCCTTAAAATTGAACTTTTTAAATCTCATTTTTATAGGGTGGAGTAGAGGATGACTGTTTTGGAGTGTCAATAACAGCTCCCTAAAAGTTCTAACTTTCCGCACTTCCCACCCCTAATTTTAACACTGAGAAATTTTGGATTGCAGATTATCACAAATAAAAAAAATAAAAAAAGACAACAATAAGATAATCAGAGCAAAACCAGAAATTTTAACGAATTATGGAAAGCCGATTTTCTTCTACAGACAAACCTATAAGCCATCAACGAAACCCACATTTCCTTTTCTTTTCTTTTTTTTCTTTTTTTTCTTCTTTTTTTCTTCATTTTCCGGATACTAACAGTGCAGAACAACATGTAACAGGAAAACCGAAAACTAAAATTGAACAAATGCTGAAACAATTACAACAATCGAGAACCTGGTAAATGGGGTTTCCAATTAGGGACAAGGGAATAGAGGAGGGTCCTCATCATATGGAGACGTACAAAGTATATTTGGCTGTACTGCTGACCCCTGTACATCTCTTTCTGAATCTCAAACCTCTCGTCCTGAAATAAACAGAAATAAGAAATAAATAAATAAATAAATAAATAACTAAACAAAAAAATTGAAAAAAGAAATAGCAAAACAGGACAATTGCTCTAAAACTGTCAGTTGTGGCTGTTAATTGAGTAATGGTTGCTGAGAAATCCTAGAACAAGATATAAATGTCCGGATTGAGCACAAAATTTCTACTTTCCGTTCTTTTCTCGTTTGTTTCTCGGCAACCAAACAAGGCGATGCGAAAAGAAGTGAGGTGAAGTAAATCTTCAAGGAGAGATAGAGAAAGAGAGAGAGAGAGTACGGACCAGCAAGTTATAGGTGGAATGCTTTCTCTGGAGGTTCTTCTCCGAATCGATTTCCATGGCTTCCATGGCGGGAAAAAAAAAGAGAAAGCAGAGAATTTTTCACTACTCGCTTTTGGGCTTTGGCTCAGCTACTCGGTAGGGCTTTTTATATGCCCAAAAAACAAAGTTGTCTCGATATATTTTCTAAATGTCGCATGAAGATCACACGGGGATGTAGCTCACATGGTAGAGCGCTCGCTTTGCATGCGAGAGGTACGGGGTTCGATACCCCGCATCTCCACTTACCTTATTTTTCAATAAAATATTTTGTTAATTTACAAATTCTGCTGCCGATACTTGAGAGGAGAGAGGTTCTCCAATATTTGTTTCTTTTTGTCATTTTTAAACCACCAACTTGTTATATTTTATTTTATTTTATATTTTTAATGTAAGAAAAAAAAAAAAAAAAAAAAAAAAAAAAAAAAAATAAAAAAAGTTAAAAATAAGGGTTAGCTGAAGCAGCGCACTTCTCTTTTTTCTTTGCTAAAGTTAGGAAGGAAGATAGAGGGTTTTTTCATACACACACATTTAAAAGTGTCACGGGAGTTCAAACTTGAGACCATTAGTTTGCAAATCAAGATCCTTTTTTACTAGACTACACCCCGTTAACAAGTGACCATTTTAAAAAGACTAGTTAAAATAACTTTGGAAAAGCTAAACGAAAGAAGGAAAATCCATTAAATCTAATGACCCATATTACACAAGTTAACAATCTTACCACAATATGAGGCTTTGTATTTTTTTAGTATAGTTTATCTCCAAGAGTCATTGCTATGGTCAAATGAGAGTAGTACTTTCGTTAAGGAAGTTTGTTGGGTTGTAAATGTTACAATTTTATATAGTAAATTAATAAGCTTACACGTGTCAAAATTCTATTTGTTTTGAGGTGAAAACCTTGCGCTGGAAGTCTAAAAATTAATGTGGACGGCTCTTGGACAGCAGGTAATACATATGGGGGTGTGGGAATAGTGGTGCGCGATTCTAATGGCAAGTTTGTTGCGGGCAGAGCGTTGCATGTGGACAATGTTTTCTCAGCTTTACAGGTTGAAGCAATGGCAGCTCGCGAAGGAGCAATTTTGGCGGTGGAAGGGGATTTTAATAATGCAATTTTTGAGAGTGATTCTCTCCAGATCGTGTCAGCAATCCAAAGTTCTTCTGTTGATAGGTCCAATGTGGGCCCAGTGGTGGAAGACACTAAGGCACTGCTAACCCAGATCACTGGGGATGGTTTTACCCATATCCGTCGGGTTGCAAATGGAGCGGCTCATCGTCTGGCACGTTATGCTTCCCATACTGGCACTATGACTACTTGGTTTGAAGAACCGCCAGATCTTCTAGTTGATGTCCTGTACGAGGAGTGTAACTTGTAGTTTTTTACGGCCGTGCTACTAGGGGGACGGGGGGGCACTCTATCGGAGGCAAGGTTCCTCCTCCCGCTTGCGGTTGAGGAGGTAGGCTACTTCGTAGTCGACAACCACTACGCTTCGCTCGGTGTAGAGTACTCGCCTAATCCTCTAGGGCTTGTGCCCGATTTTTGTACTTGTTACTTTTTTTCCTCATTAATAAATACACTATCGCCCTTGTGTTTTAAAAAAAAATGGTTTGAAAGGAGGATTCTCTTAATAATTACCAACTAGCATTAATTTGGTGATCTTTCTATATGAACTTTATGAAAAGAGCTCTCACGATTAGATTCACTTATAATAGATTAAAATGTAGAAAATTAACATGATTATGATATGATATTCTGGAGGGTAACCAAACCAATTATTAGTTTTGTTGTTGTTGTTGTTGTTGTTGGGCAGTTGTTAGCATTATGATTATCTTATATTATCATTTCCTTTAATATGTTATTAATACTTTTTAAATGAGGTTAATTACAGTTTAGTACCATGTGGTTACACCATTAAGACATGTTGGTCCCTATCTTCTCAATTTTTACAATCACATACCCCGATCTTTTAAATTTGTTACAATATGGTTTTGTCATTAGGGTTTTCGTCAGATCTCTCTGTTAGTTGCCTACATGCAAGGTTTAAAATATCGATGGTATTGAAAATATCGGTAGTCCAAAAATAAGGAAATTTTGATGGAAATATCATGATATTATTGATATCAATAAAAATTGAATAAAAACTATGGACATTATAAGAAAAACTTGGAAATTTTTATTGAAACTTTGAAGGATGTTTATTTAGTCAATTATCTATTAGTTTATCACAAAAAATTGGAAGAAAATGCATTGCATAATGGGTTTAACTGATTTAAGTTGATTATATAGTAAGCTGACAAACACTATGAGTGTATAAAATATGTAATAATTAATGAAAGAAGATTAAACACACCATAATAATTAATATATGATTTACTAAAATATTTTACATTTTATACATTGCATGGTAAGATACATGAGTAACTTAGTACCACATATAGTTCCTATGAGGTTCAAATTTTTCACTATCTTCATCATCTCTATGTGTAGAGTAAGTGTATTGTAAAGAGTAATCATCAAATGATAAATCCTCAAAATAGTTTTGCATGTAATTAACATGCCACCCATATGGATCCAAGATTGGTTGACGTTGTCTATAAGCAAAATCATTTGAAGATTGGGTCTTAGATTCTTTACATGAAATGCTTCATTCCACCCCAAAAGGAAACGTCAAAGACTCACATTCTCATGTAAAAATCTTATTCTTGCAAAAACAGTTCAAAACAAAACAATATAAATATACATATTTTAACATATTATCACAAAAACATAAGCAACATGGTGGTTAAGGTGTTGGAGGAGTGAAATGGCAGGAATTTGAATCCCCTTTGCATGTGTGCTTTGTGTTTTTTTTCCTTTTCCTTTTTTTCATTACATCGATATTTTGATATTTTCGATTTATAGCGATATTTTGACAAAATATTGCTGAAGTGTAAGCAAAATTATCGACATTGATATTTTTCGATATTATTGATATTTATACGATATGTGTATGGATACGTTCCAAAATATCAGTGACTCAAAAAAGCGGTAATATCCTCGATATTTCGTTGATATGATTGATATTTTAGACTATACCTACATGACACTATAGGTCCCACATTTTCAATTTTTTTTTACAGTACAACTCTCTCTCTTTCTCTCCATCTGCGCTCTCCCTCTGCCCCCATTGATTCCCCCCCCCCATTCCCCCATGAAAAAAAAAATTATCTCAAGACAACCAAAATACAGCCACACCTAACCCACCCACCCAAATTCCACAACAGAACCCCCACCCCCACAGACCCCTCCCCCATTTTGTTTTTCACCCACAAACCCTAAACCCACCACCTGCAATGCACCCACAAATGTAAACAATGTTCAAACCACAAAGGCTAGATATGGCCTCTCTCATCCTCATCCTTCCAACTTCATCGCCGACAGCCCAACCCCAATAAAATCAAATTCGCCACCTTTTTCCTGGCACCTCATAAACTCGAACTCGCCTCTATTTCAAAAAACAAATTATCTACTCCTATGTCTGCAAATTCAAAAACAAAAAATTGTACAAAAAAATTGAAAACAAAGATGAATTCAATCCAATATATGAATTTTCTCTTTGTGCCTATAGTTGTATCCGTTTAGAGAAAGAGAGAAAGAGGGTGGACTGGCTGGGGTGGTGGTGGGCATAGGGGAGGAACATGAGAACATGAGCGCGAGATAGATTGTGGCGAGGTTGTGGAGTCGGGGATGGGTCTGCAGGGTGAGGGAAGAATGAGAGACATAATAGAGAGATGGAAGAGGTGGGTGGTGGTGAGAGGTGGTGGAGGAGTGCGTGGTGGAGCGGCGTCGCTCCAAGCCTACCATTGTTGTTCCATATATATGTTTTTTTATGTTGTGATGGTGGGTGTGGCTGAGAATGGTGGTTAGAGCATTTCCAGCAAGGGGACCAATGGGAGGGTTGGGGGGGTTTGGCCCAAAAACCTGTTTCCAGCAACAAAATATTGCCCGGGCACAAGGTGGGACCCAGCAACCTAGGCTGGCCCGAGGGCAAGTCTTGCCCGAGCGCTGGCCTGAGTTTTGGTGCTAACGTCAGCCTTGGCATCCAAATTTTTTTAATGTTGGTGCGTGCGTTGCACGTGCCTGAGTTAAAAAAAATTTGAACGCATTGCTACAGTGCCACCAACGGCTCTCTTCGACGTGTCGCACTCTGGGCTCTCCGATCAGATTTTTTCCTCCAATCCAACGGCAGCTAATTTTTGTGCAATAAAAAAATTAAAAAAATCTTTTTAAAAAAAAACCATTTTTTTGTTCTCTATAAATACCAACCAATACTCGATATTAATTTTGAAATTTGAAACTGAAAATCTTATCCGATATGAATAGTATTGACACATGGGAACCCAAAAATCTTATCTGAAAATATTATCCAAATTAATTGTTTAGGTAAAAAAAAATTGTGAAAAAAATAAAAAAAAATGAATAGTATTTTCCATGGCAAATGACAACTACTGGAAACACACATTGCTTTTTGCAAGGGCAGCCATTATTCACGTGAAATGTAGTCCACAATGCTCCATGTCATCAGTTAACAGATTTTCTAACAGCTAATATAACTGCAAAGTCACATTATAAAAAAATTACATAACAAGGGTATGTAATTATTAAAATTGAGAATGCACAGACAAACATATCTTAATGGTACAACTTTAGGATACCAAACTAAAATTAACCCCATATTTACTTTAGCATTTCACATGCGTTGGTTTGGTTGATTATATAACACATATAAAGCCAAAGAAGTGGTGGCGGGTATCCGCTTTTATTTTGACAAGACAAGTACAAATTTTCTGGTATATGATGACAAATGGGGTCTAAAATTTCCTACCTTTATAGCTTGTTTGCCCTGTAATGTCATATGCTCAATGTAACAGTCGAAAGCATGAATAAGATTTATATGACATGTGTTAACATCTAACACACAAATTATGTGAATTTTGAAAGTAGTGGAGATTTCATTAAAATTATTAATTGGTAAGAGGTAAATAATTTAATTCTTTATAAGTTAATACAAAATTTATTAACTTACGTAATACATAGACAACACATATTAAGTGACTTTAAATATGTGTGGTCGTTGACTTTTAATGTGAGACATAACTCCTCATTGTACATCGTCCTCACAAAATGCGTATTTTATACACGATAAAAAATTACCAACATGCATGGAGTCGAATTAACTTGGTAAATCCGTACAGCCTTCTTATCCATCTAGGTAAATATGTTCTTTTTGGTCGTTATTAATGAATTTTATGTTTCACACAACCCACATGACCAAAAAGAAGGAAAGAAAAAAAAAACGAACGGTAACAAACTAACGGTCAAAACGCATGCCGCTGGCAAAAAAACTCAGCAGCAGGACAAGCAGCCGCCGATTCCGATTCGCCAACAAATTCAATCAAAAATTGAAAAAGACCAAACAAGATAATAGATAGATATTAGTATTGTTTTAAAATGACGAAAACACCCTTATATCAGACACACACACAGAGAGCCTTCCCACTTCCCTCGCACCCTCCAACCACCCACCTGTCTTGTCCACTCCTTACTATATCAGACGATTCAAACCCAGCCAGCCGTGCTCGCTCAATTCTCCCTCTCTCTCTTTTCAATGGCGTCCGTTCAGAGCCAGCTCTCTGCGATTGCTTCGATTCACTCCTGTTGTTCGTCGTCGTCTCCATCGTCCTCGTCCTTCTCTTCAACCACCACCACCACCACTTCACTGGTCCCCGTCGGAAAGTGGCCGCAGTATGGACGGAGAATCTCCGGCGAACGGAAACTTCGACTCCGGCGATCCCTGTGCCGAGCAATGGTTCAGCAGGCCGTTCCCGGAGCTCCTGCCGCGTATGCTAAGGAAATGGAGAGGCTTTCAGCTAAAGAATCTCTGCTTCTTGCCGTGAGTTTATCGTCTTTTTCATATACGATTCTCTTAATATATATAATTAATGTCAATTAAAAGATAAATTGATAGCTTTATGCACTGATTAGCTATTTAGGAAGTGGTAATGTGAGAATAAGCCAAATGTAAGGCTCTGTTTGGTTGCCATTTTCAGTACAAAATTCGCTTTCTCCTGAGCTAGGAAAGTATACATGCGAACTACAATAGTGCTTAAGTATTAAAATTCAATTAATTTGGACCGTGACATCATGATCTCCATTCAAATTATTTGGTACTTTTTCTTTTTTCTTCTGTAATTCTTTGACTTGTTTTGAAACCCTTTGTTTCAGTTTAAGGATGCTGGGGGTTTTGAGGCTTTGGTCACTGGAAAGACAACAGACATGGAGCGGATTGATGTGAATGAGAGGATAACTAGTTTGGAGCGGGTCAATCCAACACCACGTCCTACAACGTAGGCACATATCTAAACAATGAATTCCCACAATTTTTTCTTTTGGTTTGGATGAGATGTTCACTTGTTTGTTCAGCTACCCAGGTCGCCTTTTTTGGAAGGTCGATGGAATTTCGAGTGGTTTGGATCTGCAAGCCCAGGTCTATTTGCCGCTAGATTTATATTTCAGTGAGTTCTGCATACATTTACCTTTTTAATTGTTGGATTGGTTGTAAAAAAAACAAACCTGGTTTTGAAATTTGAACTGAAAGGTAGCTTAATGTATAGATGCAATCTCTCTGTTGCTGCAGGAGGTTTCCTTCAACTTTGGCTAGTCTGTCAAAAATGGAGGTGGTCATCAAGGATGGGAATGCAGAGATTACAGCAAACTTGAAACTGTTGAACTCGGTATTTATTTTGTCTTTTGAAGTTGTCAGTCCATGGAATGCTTTCATATATATATGATGAAGCACTCAGGGTAAATACTGCATTTTTCACATCTCCATGTGAAATCGCAGCTCCAATACAATATGTTATGGATATTGAACTTAGGTGGGTCATTATTTCTGTTGAAGCACTAGTGCTTGGTTAGGGCAAGTTGGGTCATGTTTGCATTAGAACTGTGGCTTGCTTGTGCATTCTGTTTAGGTACAACATCACAAGATCAGCCAGTCAATCTGTATGAACTATTTTGCATCTTGTTTTTGTCATTTTTCTTGGACTCTTAGGAAACCTAGCAATTATTTGTGTTAGTTCAATTCTGCCCCTCTAAATAAATTCAATTAGTATGATTATCGAGGGAGAGAGAAAGAGAAGTAAATTTTTAGTCTGATAGTATTTTCTGTGATAACAAATAGTCAAGGCATAATCGTGATTTAGACATGGTGTTACCTATCATTTCTCGGTTTCCACCTCCTATTTGTGTGCTCTGTTTGAATTTTGTTGATGTAACTTTTTATGAGCATTCATTATAAAGCATATTCTGGTTCTTTGCAGATAGAAAGCAAATTTACTCTGTCAACCAAGTTATCTGTGGAGGGACCAGTTCGAATGAAAGAGGAATATGTTGAGGGAATTCTCGAGACACCAACAGTTATTGAAGAGACAATACCAGAACAGCTAAAAGGTGCATTTGGTCAGGCAGTGAGCACAGTGCAACAACTTCCTTTTCCTATTAGGGATGCCTTTTCCAGTGGGCTGAAAGTTCCTTTAAGTAAGTGTGATCTTTTTCTTACCCAGTTATTTTCTTATCTGAGTTGCATAGTTGAATCTTGAACTGCAATCAACCCTTTTAATATCTGCCACTGTTGTGGTCTGGTACCACGTAATGAGACAGTATATAAAATTTGGGAAAACTTACTATTTGGGATAGAAAGATGTTTGTGAATTATTTTCAAATCTATGAATCACTCCAGTCAACTCCTATAAATCCATTGTCAGAAGAATATCTGGTCTTCTGTGGCCAAGTACTATGTAAGGGAACAGTTATGAAATTTGCGGAACTGACTATTTGGGATTAAAAGATGCTCAGATGCCTGTAAATTCCTTTTTGTGAATGAATCCTAACCTCCTGCTTGATGATTTTACCATGTGTTACTGTTTTCATAAGCTCTCTACCTTTGGAAACTTTTGCTGTTTTGACATTGCAGCAACCAGCCTTTTTGTCTTTGTAGATTGATCAAATATTCCTGCTCTTCCTTCTGTAAATTTAAGGGTGGCGATGGTATACCTGGGGTTACTAGTTGAGACTTGGTTAAACATCATATGCCCACCATAAATTTTCTGAAAATGTTGTTACCATTCTTTGAGGCATCTATAAATTATAAATTCTGAACATGGTATATCTTTCCTTTTACAATAAGTTTTCCTTTTATTTTCATATTAGTTAAATTTACATAGGGGTTAAAAGAGCTATAACATTTGCTTTTCTTGAAAGATGAACACTCTCTTTTTTCCAACCTCCCTTTGTGTCTATTTTGGGAGGTGAGGCAAGGTAAATGATTAAATACCCAAGCCTCAAAGGGCACAGTCATTGATGACCTTGGTAGTGGTTTGTGTTATGATTAGGTACCTCAAAGGAGGTTTTTCCATTTACAAGATTCTGCGGCTGTTAGATTGAGTATATAGTGAGGTATTGTGTCAACTGTGAGGTATCTTAAGGTGTTGCTACTTAACCAGCTACAGTTTATTCTTGATATAATTATAATTTTTCATATAACCATTAAGTGTCCCATGTTACTCTCTCTTGGTTTGAACGTTTTGTTGGTTGGTTGCCTTAAAGTGCTCTCGAGGATGAGGCTTAGGACCCATAACCAGAGAGTTGATCTTATAATTCAGATTGAAACATTGTGACTTCAAAAGCTGCAGATATTTTATGTTTTGTTTAATTAACAATTTTACAACTCAGATGTGTCTTTCCAAATTCCCACCCTTGCTCTTTCTTGCATGTTTTATTTGTTTGCAGCCTAGAATCCAGAATATTAAATGGTTAGATACAATAAATATATAATTTTCTCATCACTAAATTCAGTCATAAAAATTAGTGGGAGTGATCATCTTAGATGGTATGGGATTTTGTGCATATGTGATGATGCTTTTTCATTTTTTGATGTTTGTTTGTAGTAGCATATGCCGACCCTGCTAATGCTCCATCCAATATGATAAAAGAAGCAATTTGTCTTCCGAACCTTAGCCAATATTACCTTCTTATATTACTTTCGCCTCTATGCTAACTTAGCGCTCATTATGAACCCATGGCAAGTGTTTACTGCTTTATGCTTGCCTAGTTTGGTTTTTTTTCACTGTTGTTTGTACTAGTGTATGCCGCTCCCTGCTAATATTCCATCCAACATGATAAAATAAAGCAATTTAACTTTTCAGTCTCATCCAATACTGCTTTATCTCATTCTTGCCTCTATGCTTTGCCTTGTGTCTGCAGCTGGAGCTTTTGTGAGGCTCTTCATGATTTCGTATCTAGATACAGAGATACTTGTAAGTATCCCACGGAGTATTTTTTTTTTCATAATTCAGTTATAATTTGTTAGGGACGAATGAAGTTTCATTTTTTCTTGGGGGCATCTGTTTTGTTTTCATCATTTGTAGTAGAAACCTTTCTAAATTTCTAAAGTACATTCTTAAAGAGGGTTAAACTCATAAGGTGCATGATGTGTATTTTGCTAAAAGATATATGATGTATTTGAAATCCATTATTTTCCCTAGATCACCTTGACCTTTTCATTAGTCTGATGTTTGTGCATGAATAATATTCATAAATAAAGTCAACAGTTCATAAATAAAGTCCACGGTAATGCCATTTGCTGATCTTATTATTGTATTTTGTGATTATCTTGGATTTAATAACAGATGAAATAGGTTTACATTTGCTCCCTTTACCCTTGACCTCGCTAACCTTGGAATCAATTGTGTTCTAAGGGTGAAGTCTTTATAAGTGTTTTACCTCTGACAATTAGAAGTTATTTCACCTTTGTCTCTGTGTTGTATTATTATATGAACCGACTCTAATATTTCCTCTTAATCAATCTTACTTAGCATGCAAGACTTTCTGACTTTGTTATTCTGAAACAAAGGCTACACTAACAGATGCACTCTATCTCCCCCACAAACCTTGTTCCCAGAGTCAAACTTAGACATTTGAATCTTGAGAATGAGCCATTATCTTATAGCTTATACGTGCCAAACTGGCGTAGCCGTGCTTTCTCCACCACTTCCATACACTTGCATGAAGTTGGTTATGGGTGGTTAGTTGCTTATAACTGTATATGATTGGCCTGTGGTAGTGTCAAAACAAGAAATAAGGAAAAAGAGTTGGCCGGTGACTATACATATGAACATTTTCACGCATCATAATACTAGATCGGCTTTGATCTTTTATTATATTGCGGAGTGGTGGCTTCATATAGGGCGCTGCGATCAGATTTTAAATTCTTCTACTGGGTTTGATGCAGATATTAAGGGATGCAGCTGGAGTTCCTGAAGTACTTACAAGGTTGGATACAGCTTCATCTCCCCTGGAAGAAACCGTCATGGAGTATGAGAGCTAAAGGTTCTTCTATGTATGGAAACTCAAAGTTTTTTTCTATATTTTTAGATAATAATTAAAATAATAGTTACACTTCCACCTGTTTCTCTCTCTCTCTCTCTCCCCCCCTCTCTCCCTCTCTCTTAATGAGATGTTGCTTTTTTTTATAATTTTTCCTTGTTTTCTTCCAAAATTTTCCAAATAATCACCATAAAAATAGGTGACATGTTTTATTTCTGTTAAATTCAAGTCAACGGACCAAAATTGAGTGTGGTTGTTCCTCCAAGTCTTAAAGCATATATATAATTTGTTTGCCCTTGTGATGATTTTTAGATTCACCGGATAAGAACAGGGAAAATATTTGTAAATTAAAGGTTGGTGTGAAGTGTGAACGTGTTTGACTAAAATGCACCACGCTGTTTGACTATTGATGTGCTCTGCTGTCATGCTTGATTTACGACATGCCGCCTCTAAAGCTTGACCTCACATCATCTGGAAGGCCATTTCAATATTTAATTGTCCTTTTAATTTGGTTTGATTACTTGGTTAGTTGGCTGTGTTTCCCTTTGGCCTTTGTCACTTTGATGAGATTTCTTTTAGGGCTGAGTTGACTGAAAACTTGGGGAACCCTGGAGATTAGAATTATGATGCTAGCATCAGTTTTCCATGTGCGTAAGTGATTGTGGACCGTCGATGCATTGTGTGACTCACGGGCATTAATGGGCTGATGCATTGTTGTTGACACTTCAAATTGTAGGAGAAGAAATTGTACAAACATGTTGAATCACGGAAGCTTATCCAATGAAGGGGCTGTGGTGAGGGGGGTTCAATCTGTTCGTCCAATAATAGTTCTGCAATTTATCTGATGGCTATGAAGGATCCCTTCATTATAACCTCTCATTACAGTCTCTCGAGTTCAATCGCTTTAGATTTTACACATATAATGATCTAGAGGCATCGACTCTGTGTACGGTCGTTTTGGATCAACAACAGTTAGAGCATCATAGAGGCACTAATTGTGGTTTGGTTAATGGTGTTGCACCTGTCATCTCAATCTAGCTTCATTAACTTAAATACTTAACTTGCGGCACCAAGAAATTAGAAATTTTAATATAACAATTTGCGAATAAGAAAGTCACCAAAAATTTTGACTTCCGCCGCTGTTTATTTGTCAACTATTATTATTAATCCCCTGATGCGAACTTGGGTTTTTTTTCTATTTTATTTTATTAAGAAAATAATTTTACAGCTCTTGGTGTGAATTGAACATCTATTCATCTCCAACGGCGGCTAGCGTAGTGGAAAATGGCCTTAACTTGCATACTTGATATCTCATGTTCGAATTCTCACGGCATCATAGTTGTGTGTGTATGAGAAATCTCCCTCACCTATAATTTAGACTATCCCTTGCACTAAAAAAACATCTATTCATTTGCTCATGGTACAATTGGTAGGCATGTATGTATGTTTACATATAGACGTACATTTATATGTATGTATATATCTTCCGTACATTTGTAGATGGGAATGGGATATAATATACAATAACTTTTAGATTGGTTTATGGGTTTTATAACTTTTATTTATTAATTAATTATTAGCCAACTTGGGAGCAGTTGGTGTTTTTTTCCCCTAAAAAGAACAAGTGGGTTATGTAGAATTGTGTGTTAAATTTAATGTGGGCAATTAACAATGGAAATTTCTGAATAGGACTAACAAAACTTGGAGTTGGAGGAGTGTATCTGGAATTTTCATGCCAACATGATAAGAGAGAGACGACTTCTGTAATAAATGGTGAAAATTAAATTGCAATTAGACTCTTGCAAGAAAAGCTATAAATTTATCAAAATATATAATTTCGGCACGTTCCTTATAATTTGGTTTCCCAAACAATAATACTATTCTTATCATATTTGTATAACACATTCTCATACCACCTTATGTGGGAGATGAAGTGAACATCCATATCAATTAAAATTAAACATTTTCTTTTCTTTTATGATTTATTGACACTTTTTAATTGATGTAGCTATTCACTTCATTTGCCGCATAAGTTGGTATAAGAATATGATATACAAATGTGATAAGAGTAACATTACTCAACAAAAAATCTTCATTTAGAGAGAGAAACAGAGGCCCCACAACAACACATACATAAGACAAGAAGGAAGTCCTACATCCAAATGGAAGGAGACAAACCCTCTTAAATATTACTCAATTTAAAAGCTAAGACTTAAAAAAAAACAAAGAAATAATTAAGAAATATTATAAGTTTCTGCAACTTCCAAATGGAATGCAACTGCAGTATCTCTGCAGAAAACAGAGAAGCACTCAAAAGTATATGTCTTTAACCCTTGTATTTACATCAAATGGAGAGAGAGAGAGAGATCAGAAGAACATCAGAAAATTGGGAAAAAAAAATTAAAAAGACATGGATAAACAAGTAGTACTAGATTTAAGTTAAACCCTCTAAAAATCCCAATAAATTAAGCAAAATATTTCATAGAACTCTGAAACACATTATACATTCTTCTTCTTTTCTTTCTTTTGGTGAGAATCAAACATCAAACTTTAATTTCTGAATTGCTAAATACTTCTAGACAAGTTGGGTTCCTTCAAAACCATGCAGGTGAGAATTTGAGGCATCCAAATTGGGCAGAAGAGGAAATTCACCAAATTCCTGAATAAACCCTTCCAAATCTGCAAATCTCTCCAAGAACCCACCTGAGTTCTCTGCATTCCACATCATCCCTTCTTCCTTGACTCTCTCTCTTGATTGATCCAAACCCATGTACCCAGTTCTCATCAGCTCCAGCTTGTCAGCCATTGATGACGCATTTTTCTTGGGTTCTTCTCTGCAGCTGGGAATTATATTCCTTGGCCTCTTATTCTTCTTCTTGCTGCAGCCATTTTCAGATGGTTTTCCTGTGAGTCTCTGCACTAACTCCCTGAAGTTTGCCACGTCTGTCTTGATGATCTCTGGTGCAAATATGTGAATGATTCGAATTTTGGGCTTGGCTTTTGATATTGTTTGTGATTCTCTGTGGATGGCTAGTGCTGCTGGTAAATTTGAGCAACAGGTTTGCTTCTTGGTTAATGTCTCCTCCATGAGAACTTAATGGCTAGAGAGAGAGAGAGACAGAGACAGAGAGAGAGACAGAGAGAGAGAGAGAGAGAGGTTGGGAAATGGGGATTGAGGAAGTTGGTGTATATATTTGTTTAGAATGAAGGTGATGCTTATATAGGGGAAAGATTAATATAAAGGGTGGTTAATTATTAATTAATTAAATTGGAAGGACAAATGGGAAAAAACTAAGAAAAAAAACAAAAGAGGGGGAAAAGGCTGTCTTTGGGAGGAGGGGTTGGATGAATCCTTGTCTGGCAAATTGCTAGAGTCAATAGAGTAATTAATGGAACTCAATGGTCCCCTATTTCCCAAACTGGGAATTTCATATACTTATATATGTATTCTGTTGTATTTATTATATTATATGTTAATGTTTTGTGAGTTTGGGGTATGGGAGGATATATGTGAACATATATGATGTTTTTCATCATACATGAAATTACCAAAACATCCCCATTTTCCATTCAACTTGGAACTTGATTATTAGGATCATCCAATTGTAAAATTTCAATGCATGATTCTCCTCTTCTTCCTCTTCTTGATTGAACCTTGAGAGATGGGTGGTTCAATCATTTAATGAAAGTTGTCATTTATTGTTATAGCTTGTATTAATCCTTCCTCATGCAATGGGATTTCAATGCTTAGTTATGAGGGAAGCTTTCATGCAAATTCAAATGTATTTTAGGATTTGCAAATGACCCATTAGTGTAGTGGTTTTGAGTTTGAGTCATAGCACGTGTTGTGTATATGAGTTCAGTACACCTCTCAATAGGAAAGATCCTCAAAAAATATATTTAAGGTTTTAGGCCAAAACAGAAATTATATCAGATTACTATTTTGGTCATCTGAACGCCTATGTTAGATGTTTGGAATAGATTCAATATCACTTAACGACAACTTTATCTCTTGATACTACACATCAGTGTCATCCCTAACATTATTTTTTTATAGGACTTCATCAGAACATAATCGTGATCAACATTTAAAAAGTACTAACCACATTAATCACGTACTCTTTGAAAATTAATCACACATGTCATGCACAAAAATGAGTTTCATATGGGTAATTATGACAATATGGAGCTACAATATCATTACACATAAAGCCAATGTCATGGACTCATGGGTTCATGGCTTGCACAATTGTACGACAGTAGTACCTAATCCCGCGTTTCAACCCAAAACAAACTATAAAAATGAGTTCCAAAAACAAAAGACTTTGTAAATCATTACTTTTCTGTTTGATCCTCCATCTTGTCTGTAATTTTTCATTACTGAATTCCTATAAGATCTGAAACTTGATATGGAAGCACAATGATTTAATTGGATACGATCCAGCAAAGCAGCTGCAAATAGTTGTGTGCATGTAGATTGTAGGGGGAGAGTTTTAAGTAGCTATGTATAAGAGTATCAATTTGGTCCCATAGAAAGGAAAAAAATTAAGGAAAATTTCTAGATAATATATAAACTCCCCATAGCGCATTGGTAGTGTGTGTGTGTGAGAAACTTCCCTTCAATTATAATTTAGACTATCGTTTATATTAAAAAATGAACTTGTTTCACAATTAATCGTGGACGTTTTATTATTAAATATTGATGTAAATTAACAATCTAATAACGTAATATTGTTTCGCAAAATAGAACCTATATCCTATGTAATTATGTATACAAGAGCAAACTAGTACGTACGGATGCATGAGGTATCTGACTCTTGCTAAATTGCAAAACCGACTTGGATGTTTTTTTCTCATTTGGCTCTATGTTTTCATCTCATAGCTAGAGAGAGAGAGAGAGAGAGAGAGAGAGAGAGAGAGAGAGAGAGAGAGAGCACCATGGCCGGTCTTAAGATTTGTCACTGCTCACTAATGGAGCTTTCGATCCCAAACATGAACCCAAATTCATATTTGACTATGTCTTCACAATAGATATTTTTATTTTTATTTGATCTCTTGCATTATGTATAAAGACAAATGAAAACATTCAACAGTCGATTTTGTAATTAAGCATAAGTGAGATTAAGAAAGGTCCTTAACCAGGTTTAAAAATTTATAATTATCCTTTTTGTATGAAATTTTGGACACAAAAAGAATGCTAATGGAAGCCGCTAAGTGTGAATGCCAAAAAGGGTTGTTTAGGTGAGAATTGCTCAGTGGGGAGGTCACATGGCACGTGACCTTTTACAATTGGTGCAACTGCCATGAGGTTTTAGCTTTCACTTTTTTGACTTTTTACACGATCCTTCGTGCATGTCATGCTAATAGCTAGTCATCCTTTTTAATTGGCAACTTTTACTTTTTCCTTTTACTTCAATTGGATATATAAAAGGCTTTTTTTGACAACAAAAATCCTTCCTTGTAATTCTTGTCTAATTACATCAATTTATATTTATATATATATATTATATACAATTTGTACAAGCTAGGTAGCTGGCAGCTTACCATTTTTCTTCCAAGTGGGGCTAATTTCCCAACAGAATTGAGTGGGGTAATTTCCAATAGGGTAAGGACTATTGGGTATGAAAACACCATTGTGTTTCTATGCTTAGGAGAACTAATGAAAAATAATTGATAGCCGGCAGCAGAGGAAATATTATAGATATTGAATTGGATATTATGTGTATGTACCGGTAGATCTTCCGTTCTGATCAGAAAATAATAACCGTCGGATGTGCACGTGATGTACTGACATCCATGATGATGCGTTTTGCGTCATCAAAGAGAGAGAGAGAGAGAGAGAGCACACGAGTCCCGTGCCGGCGCAGGGATGGCAGAGCAAAGACTCAATCTCAACTGCCACGTGGCGACGTGCGTGCCGTCCGCTGCTTCCTGAGCGGGAGCCAATCCAACGAGTGCGAGGCCACTCTTTATTGACGTCTTAATTACTAATTAGCATTTTTGGGTGAAAATTACGAACTTGGGTTGCACGACCGCGCTCCCTTGTTATGCTTAGCTGGATCCTGTCAGCTTTTTCCCAACATGTGTTTTGCGCTGCATCTTTTCTTACCAATCTTCCACTCCTTTTCAAAAAACATTCTTAATCAAATAATGCTCATCACTCATTCCATCCCAAAGCTTTGAAGAAGGATGGTCTTATCACGTAATTACCATGTGTGTTATTATAATATGAATCACAATTTTATGTTCTTACAAAATCTACTCCACTTATTATTTTGACTCCATAAGTAAACGTTTTTAACCATTTGAATTATTGAAGAGATATATATACATATATTTATAGAGAGAGAGAGAGTTTTTATTGAGGGATTTTTTTATTTGAAGGACACTTTTGTAGAGACTACTTGTTATTGTATTTCACTAATCCAAATAATCTATTTTGTAGATATTTATTCAAAGATCATCTCTACAAAAAATCACTTGAATCCGATATCATTTGGCCACTTAATTATAAATTATTAAAATTCAAGTACTTTTCTAAAGTACCGCGTTTATTGATTTTGTTTGTCTTAATTAGATGTTTTAATGATTTTCAATTTACATATTTTTTTTGCAAGGATGATCTCTAAATGAATATGTGAAAAATAGATGGTTTGGATAATTGAAAAAAATTTCATAGAGAACCTTAAAGGGTGTTCTTCAAATAAAATTACTTGAAGGATCTCTCAATAAAAAAGGAATATATATTTTGTTGATGCTAAAAAATGGTCAGATACTTTTGGACCCAACTTAGTGATGATATTGCCTTCAGCTCTATGTGCTCTTCGGCAGGTTGGATAGCTGCGAAATGAAGAAAAAGCAGTGAGGTCCTGGGCACCAGTGTTGTATCGACTGAAGACTCTCCAATACTTAAGTTAGTACTGAGTATAAAGTGAATAGTGATCTAGACATAGTGGTGGCTAAGTAGCCAAATGTTGCAGTTACCTTGTTTTAGGGACTTGGGCCCTTTTTTATAGATCTTGGGAAATGTGCATCTCGAGTGAGATTTTGATGTGAGACTGTGTGACAGGACCTAACCCCAATTCCACTTTGGAATCTGCGTCGGACCTTGTGTGTGTCCGACACCTGGAGGGTGTCAAGCATACCTGACAAAAATACCCTTCTAACGAAAAACCACAGTTACTTTAGAGTTTGACTTATGCTGAAAATTCGGCAAAGTCTCCTATGTAAATTGGACTTTTCCCCATATTTTTCAACCTATTAAAACACAATTAATATCTACCACTGGCAGCATACACAATTTAACCTTCAAGCATTTTACAACTAGGCCTCTGCCCTTAAATAATTCAAAACAGAACCCTCAATAAAACTCTTAAATCAAATAACGAGATTTAACAAAGCAAATAATGTACTCAAATTAAATTATGCACGTTCACTATAATTAACATTAAATAACTTCTCAAATTCCGTCATACAATGTTTAACAACCCAACACAATCACAAGTACTTTAAGCACTTGGCCCCCAAATCATACAACAATCCAAAACGGGTTTCAAGACTGTCTTGACCACAACCACACTTAACAACCAACGACTAAATTAAAGTACCAGAAATATCCTTTGTTTGCGGTTGCACCTGGATGGGACCACATGCTACCTATGTACTCTTACTGAAGGATCAAGCCACACGTAGTTCTTCCGCTTTTATAATGTACTTGAATATCTTAATCATTCGTCATATTGCTATGTGATTTGCAAATCAACCGAATTCTCATGTGCATGATGTATTCAATAATATTCACAACTCTAAAGCAATATTTTGCAATTTCCCAATTATCAAAATGGTCATATTCAGTACATAAGTAAGCCACACCCTGAACTCCCTCTAATTCATGAATCAATTTGTATATTATTGACTTAAGTTATATATATATATATATAAGAAAATAATAGTAGAAGTATAAATAAAAATAAAAATACATATATGTCAGTAACATCCTCGCAGGCATCGGAAACATAAAGTCAATTCGAGCCGCAATCCTCGCAGGCCTTGGAGACACCAAGTCAACCCAAGCCGCAATTCTCGCAC